AATGCATGTTAATACAGCCGTGTGAATCATCCATATTTAGCTGACTTACACTAGTCTCAGAACTCTGTACTAAGCCTAACTCGTAATGGTATGTAGGCTAGTCTAATGGTACACTACATGCTCGTCGAACGTCTCATTCCAAAATCATGGGCATTAATAGGGAGTTGGTCCCCCCCTCTTCTGGGAAGGCTTTCCACTAGATGTTGGAACATTGCTGTGGGTACTTGCTTCCATTCAGCCACAAGCATTAGTGAGGTAGGGCACTGATGTTGGGTGATTAGGCCTGGCTCGCAGTGGGCGTTCCAATTCATCCCAAAGGTGTTCAATGGGGTTGAGGTCAGGGCTCTGTGCAGGCCAGTCAAGTTCTTCCACACCGATCTCGCCAAACCATTTCTGTATGGACCTCACTTTGTGCACAGGGGCATTTTCATGCTGAAATAGGAAAGGGCCTTCCCCAAACTGTTGCCACAAAGTTGGAAGCACAGAATCGTCTAGGATGTCATTGTATGCTCTAGCGTTAAGATTTCCCTTCACTGGAACTAAGGGGTCTAGCCCGAACCATGAAAAACAACCCCAGACCATTATTCCTCCTCCACCAAACTTTACAGTTGGCACTATGCATTGGGGCAGGTAGCATTTTCCTGGCATCCGCCAAACCCAGATTTGTCTGTCGGACTGCCAGATGGTGAAGTGTGATACATCACTCCAGAGAACGCGTTTCCACTGCTCCAGAGTCCAATGGCGGCGAGCTTTACACCACTCCAGCCGACGCTTGGCATTGCGCATGATGATCTTAGGCTTGTGTGCAGCTGCTTGGCCATGGAAACCCATTTCATGAAGCTCCCGACGAGCAGTTCTTGTGCTGATGGAACTTGGTAGTGAGTGTTGCAACCAAGGACAGACTATTTTTACACACTTCAGCACTCAGCGTTCTGTGAGCTTGTGTGGCCTACCACTTTGTGTCTGAGCCGTTTGTTGCTCCTAGACGTTTCCACTTCACAATAACAGCCCTTACAGTTGACCGGGGTAGCTCTAGCAGGGCAGAAATTTGACGAACAGACTTGTTGGAAAGGAGACATCCTATGATGGTGCCATGTTGAAAGTCACAGCTCTTCAGTATGGTCCATTCTACTGCCAATGTGTGTCTATGGAGCTTGCATGGCTGTGTGCTCGATTTTATACACCTGTCAGCAATGGGTAGCCGAATCCACTAATTTGAAGGGGTGTCCACATACTTGTGTGTATATATAGTGTATATCCCTGAACCTGGCCTATTACTATCTGCATATAATAAAACATTTTTTTTGTGTGTGAGTTGACTTGAGCCCAGATAGTGAGCCCACATGAAGCAGATAAATGTCCTCTTGTACGCTAGGTGGCAGGACTAATACATGTTTCAAATCAGTGTAGAATTAAAACGAGGCTAACCAGGAAAGAAGATAAAAGAAACAAACATGGCGTCCAGTGCGGCGACCCGGACAGCCGCTGGTGCTGCTAAAGTTGTCAAACCGATTTTCAGCAGGGATCTGGATGAAGCTAAGCGCAGAGTTCGGGAACTGTATCGTGCCTGGTACAGAGAGGTTCCAAACACAGGTAAAACAACCTCTCCTTTGTATTAGAACCGCACGAGCTGGATCCCAGCGTCAAGGTCGTGCTAACGTTAACTAGCTGTAAGGCACTCTTTCTAGCTACATATTTATTTAGCTCATTGGCTACATCATGTCGATGTAAGTAAGCTAACATATACTTTCAATCTATGGCCAGATTTAGCTAACGTGGTGCAACTACACTGAACAAAAATATAAATTGCAACATGTAAAGTGCTGGTCCCATGTTTCATGAGCTGAAGTAAAAGATCCCAGAAATGTGTTTATGTCCCTGTTAGTGAGCATTTCTCCTTTGTCAAGATAATCCATCCACCTGACAGGTCAAGAAGGTGATTAAACAGCATGATCATTACACAGGTTTACCTTGTGTTGGGGACAATAAAAGGCCACTCTAGAATGTGCAGTTTTGTCACACAACACAATGCCACAGATGTCTCAAGTTTTGAGGGAGTGTGCAACTGGCATGCTGAAGGTAGGAATGTCTACCAGAGCTGTTGTCAGAGAGTTTAATGTTCATTTCTCTACCATAAGCCACCTCAAATGTCGTTTTAGAGAATTTGGCAGTACGTCCATCCGGCCTCACAACCGCAGACCACGTGTAACTACGCCAGCCCAGGACCTCCACATCTGGCTTCTTCACCTGCATGATCGTCTGAGACCAGCCACCCGGACAGCTGATGAAACTGTGGGTTTGCACAACCAAATAATTTCTGCACAAACTGTCAGAAACGGTCTCAGGGAAGCTCATCCGTGTGCTTGTCGTCCTCACCAGGGTCTTGAGTTCAGCGTTGTAACAGACTTTGGTGGACAAATGCTCACCTTCGATGGCCACTGGCACACTGGAGAAGTGTGCTCTTCACAGATTTAATCCCAGTTTCAACTGTACCGGGCAGATGTGTGGGAGAGCAGTTTGCTGATTTCAACATTGTGAACAGTGCCCCGTGGTGGTGGGGTTATGGTGTGGGCAGGCATAAGCTATGGAAAATGAACACATGCATTTTATCGATGGCAATTTGAATGCACAAAGATATCGTGATGAGATCCTGAGGCCCACTGTCGTGCCATTTATCCACCGCCATCACCGCATGTTTCAGCATGATAATGCACTGCCCCATGTTGCAAGGATCGGTACACAATTCCTGGAAGCTGAAAATGTCCCAGTTCTTCCATGGCCTACATACTCACCAGACGTCACCCATTGAGCATGTTTGGGATGCTCTGGATCAACGTGTATGACAGCGTGTTCCGGTTCTCATCAATATCCAGCAACTTCGCAATGCCATTGAAGAGGAGTGGGACAACATTCCACAGGCCACAATCAACAGCCTGATCAACTCTATGTGAAGATGTCGTGCTGCATGAGGCAAATTGTAGTCACTCCAGATACTCACGTCTGTATTCCCAGTCTTGTGAAATCCTTAGATTAGGGCCTAATTTATTTATTTAAATTGACTGATTTCCTTATGAATTAACTCATGAAAAATCTTTGAAATTGTGGCATGTTGCGTTTTATACTTTTGTTCAATGTACTAGCAGCTAACTAGCTAAGGTTACATAGCTAGTCAATGAGCTAGCTAGCTAGCTAGCTAGTTTATCGTCATGAACCACTTCTTTTATTTAATGTATGGACAGTACAATACACTACCTACATTTGCAGATAGGACATGATTAGCAATTTCGTTGATATGAATATTTGCTTGAGCTTGTTGTCCTATAAAATGCCCACATCTTCTTGTCTTATGTTTTGTCCCACAGTAACTACCTTCCAGCTGGACATCACAGCTCGCCAAGGAAGAGACAAAGTGAGGGAGATGTTTCACAGAAACAAGCACGTCAATGACCCCCGCGTGATTGACATGCTTGTCATTAAGGTTAGTCTACTCTGCTCCCCAATCAGTTAGTTTGCTCTCATGCAGTTAACCCAGTTTCTTAGTTGCACGGTGGGTTAGTGTTATACTGCTAGACCGAGATACAAACTCTGTCTATATAACTGGGCTACCATGCTCTACATCATTTTACATGGGACACATCCAAATCAAGATTTTTTTTTTATGTGAATATTTACAAAGCTCAATGGCCACATATCAAGTGTAGTGAGTGATGTTTTCTTTGCATACTTTTGTTTACAATAGGGTAAGATGGAGCTGCAGGAGACCATCAATGTCTGGAAGCAGAAGACCCACATTATGCGCTATTTCCATGAGACGGAGGTACCACGCCCTGCAGACTTTCTGTCCAGATTTTATGTTGGACATGACAATTGAACTGCTCCCTGTACTTTCCACCCTGTTTTGTCCAGTGTAACAGAGGCTTCCCCTTATTGAACTGTAAATATACACATGATACCCAATCTTGTGTCAAGTCCTCCTTGTACAAATGTTTTCATTTTGTGAAAACAGTCATGGGACTGTTACTTCCCACTTGAAGTTGGAAGGCTCTCCTTTAATGCTCTCCTTGTGGACTTCATAGCTATTCCTCTGCGTTGCCACAGTAGAGATGCTTTAATGTGATACAGAAGTGTTTGTGCAAACTAGCCCTTATGATCACCAAGTTCAGAAGATGGATGCTGAGACCATGGCTTATACCAAGGAATATCAGTATGGTTGTCATGGACCCTGTGTTTACCCTGTACCCACTCCAATTCAATTAGCCAGTTATTAGTTGATAAGACTCTGAATAGTTTGTGAATTGTCATGAATGACATGCCACTGACGGACATTACATATAGGTCGTCTTTATTAGATCAGTTGATCAAAAACAAATTTAACAGTTTGGACCAAGGGTTCTTGATAACCTATATCAGAAACCACATAAATAGGGACACCTATGCAGGCCTGTCACCTGACTAAGGCCTTCCCAAATAAATCAATATCCCCAGAACGATTGAAAACATAGAACAAATATTTCCATCAATGTAGAAAATATCACTAGCTAAATCAAATGCAACTTCAACTGATCAAAGGGTTTCCTCTTGCACATAGATTTTTTAAAATGTATTTAGTAAGACTTATCTGTGCATGTAAACGTTATCACCAGGGAGGAATTAGTCCTATCACTTGTATCCTGCCTGGATACAACAGCTCTGTATCCAGGCAGGCACACATCACAAGGGATGGGGAGAGAAGGCAGGAGAGAAGCACCAGAAAGGCATTGTTGAGTTTGAGATCCTCAAGTCTTTTTTCAGCTGTCACACGTCTTCCCAATGTCTTTGAGTGGTAACACAACATTATGCTCTGTTGAGGGAGAACACAGTAATAGGCCTCACCTTCCCTAAGGTCAAATGTAATCTTTATTACTTAAATGTTAAGAGATCGATCATCTAAAGTTGATTTTATTGATCAATATACATACAGCACACCCAGGTCATATAATATTTTGGAGCATACAGACCCTTCAGTCATCATCGTCATCATCCTCAGGGACAAAGATGTCATGCTCTTCCAGCAGCGCAGCAAAGTTCTTGCTGATCAGAGTTCCGACATACAGGAAGGGGATCACTACCACAGCAATCCGGAAAAGGCCAAAGGAGGTCTGGACAATTGTCAAGAATTCCATCACAAAAACATATCTAAGTTAGCCTGCAATGCTGGGTGATTTTATACACAATGACAACCAGGATAAAATAATAAAATGCATGTCATAAATAATTTACAACATGCCTTAAACAGGCATGTATTTATAACACTTCCAGTGAAATAGGCTCACAGAGATCCTACTTGATAAACATTCCTATTAAATTCATTGAGTTCTAAGATATCATTCTATGGGTAGGCTCTTAATCATGTAGCGACTTGCATGGAGATGAGTCCTCAGGTATTTTTAACTTCCTAACAAATCTTGCCTGGACGTTTTTTCATACACCAATACCTTTCAGGCACCTTTACTAAATTCCCCCCCTTTTTAGGCTGGGTTTCTGTATAGCAATTTGTGACATCTGCTGATGTAAAAAAGGCTTTATAAATACATTTGATTGATTTCATTTCATAAATGACCTGCGCATATTTTCATTAGAGAGCACTCACCTTCTTGGGTTTTGGCAAAATACCACCTGATGCTGAGTACACAACTGTTCGGTACTGAGATAGTGCCTCTCCCAACCTATTAGCATAAAACCCAGAAAATGTTGGTACACGACTGTTTTTCAACACCGACAGTCTTCCCAGACGAACCAAGAACGACGCCATCTTCCAAGCCTTTGACGCTTGCAGCAATGCGGAAAGAGATAATTTTGGATGCACCCAAGCACCGCCCCTGAGCCCTCCTTTTACTCGAATATTAAATATTCTCAATTTCTCATGATTAATTAACAAACAGTGTTTTTATGATAATTTATTGTGAACGGAGCTGAATCCGTAGTACAGCTGTACAAAACACTACATTTGTAGCAGCAAGAATTGCAGCAGTACATTTATTTATTGCTGTGATCTGTAAATGTTTTCCAGTATGTGAGCAATATTTGCAAGTACCAATAGCAATAAAATGCACAGTTACCATACATGGCCCTCAGCAATAATGTATCATCACTACAATAGTTATTGATTAGAGAAATGTAAACCTTTCAGTAGCATATCAAAAAATACTTTAGGGGAGAGTGGGGTAAGTTGAGTCTTTGGGTTAGTTGAGCCACCCCTTGTTTCTAGGAAACCATACAACAAAATGAATCATGTGACAAGTAGCAGAGGCACACAAGGTCTTATCTGATGACATGGAGTCTGAGCTTGCTAAACATAATAAGAATCTCACAGACCAGTTTCATGGGCTTAGTAGCCTCATGCAGAGAACTTGCCTATGAATTAGCACATCGAAACAACATCCCTGTCCCTGACAACTGGTCAAGAAATGGAAGGGTTAGTGATAGTGAATAAAGAGATCTATATCTGAATGTTGGCATACATTTCAGATATACAATATACCACACCCCCATTCCATGAATTAAACTTTGACCTGCCAGCACCATCACCCACTGTCACAGGACACCATCACACACTTACCTCAAGGCAGCTCAACTTACCCTGTCCCTATGCTCAATTTACCCTGTCCCTATGCTCAACTTACCCTGTCCCTATGCTCAACTTACCCTGTCCCTATGCTCAACTTACCCTGTCCCTATGCTCAATTTACCCTGTCCCTATGCTCAACTTACCCTGTCCCTATGCTCAACTTACCCTGTCCCTATGCTCAACTTACCCTGTCCCTATGCTCAACTTACCCTGTCCCTATGCTCAACTTACCCTGTCCCTATGCTCAACTTACCATGTCCCTATGCTCAACTTACCCTGTCCCTATGCTCAACTTACCCTGTCCCTATGCTCAATTCACCCTGTCCCTATGCATACCCAGGGTAAGTTGTGCCAAGAAATCACTTCTTTTTTTTTACGAGCTTTTTTCAAAAAAAAATAATGTTTACATGAAATCTGATTATTTCCAGGGATACACAACATCCTGAAACATATGTAGATATAAATGTTGGAAAGAAAACTGTATTTCCCTTGATCTAGTGATGCTGAATGTAAAAAATGGCTCAACATACCCCATTCTCCACTACAGCAAAAATATGTACAGACCCCCTTTACATAACTGGGTCATTCTGCTTGAACACAGACCTCAATTGCCTAATTCAAAAAGTACATGTGAGAGGGGAATGAACGTATTTGGAGGAATAAACTGGGTAATTGCCTCTCATTCTGTAGATAAAAAATATACTAAACGAGTGAGGTTCCGATTGTGCCAATGGACACCTTACACCTACACCCACACCCCTACCTTTCAAATCATTGTGCTTGATCTCCAGAAGTTTCCTCTATGTACTTATTTACATATTTTGATTTCCATACACCCCAAACAAGGTAAATAGTAATTGATATATTAAATTCAATATTCAATAAAATGGACTGGTCATAAATACATAATTAAACTCATAATATATACACATATAATAACACTACAGCAAAATAAATATTTTTCAGCAAGTGAGATGGGTAATAATGGAAAATAAAATCGTACTTTGGACAAAAGTGGAAATGTAAACAGCTTGAGATAAATCTCCATGAGTCTCCTTCACTTGGTGTGTGTCATGGTGTTTCCACAGGTTTGGTCCCGCCAGTGGTTTATCTCTGATCATGTACAACCAGCAAGTGGTAACTCCTCTCTACACAGGAAAACAAACTGATGTGTTTCGTCATCCAAAACTACACAGACGCCACAAACAACATGTCATATAAAGCATATTCTGGACATACTTAGCTATGTTCCCTCCCCTTTTTACCTAATGCTGTTTGAAGGTGAGACGCCTGAAGAACTTGTTTATCTCAAATACTCCATTACTGACTGGTCCCCTGGCGGTGCTGCTCTCTCCCAGCCTCACAATCTGTCCAGCAGTGATTGCTGCTCTGAGGCTCATGCTCTTCACCACCCGAGACCCAGGCCCCAGGCCAGAGGTAGGCCGGGAGGAAACAGTAATGTAGGAGGCATCCTTCTGCGGCTCCTGGTAACTCACTATGACAGAGAATAGGGGAGAAACAGTTGATCAGCAGTACTACTAACAACAGCCATAATCATATGCACAATTATAAAATAATAAATACAGCACAGCACGCATCACCTGCAGCAGTAAGTATGGTGTCTGTGGTGCTGGCGAGCTCCAGCAGGATTGTGGGATATGTAGGATGCAGCATGAAGAGCTTTCGGATGACTGGCATGGCTGGAGCCGCCACTGGTGACACCTGTTAAAATACATTTCAACTACTGATCTCCATAGTACGATAGGTAAAGGATTACATATTTGTGCCAATCAGGGTTGGGGTTAATTCCACAAATTACAGGAGACACCCAAATGGACTTTCAATCTTCCCACTGCCAACCTGAACAATGACTACTGTTAACATTCTGGCAGCAGGGTTGGGGTTAATTCCCCTATTGAATTCTAACTAAATTCTCTCTCCCTGTAAATTAAATTAAATTCCATTCAAATTCCATTTTAGTCATTTATCCAAAGCGTTTGCTAAATCAAATCAAATCAAACTTTATTTGTCACATAACAACCTCTCCCTCAACGTGATCAAGACAAAGGAGATGATTGTGGACTACAGGGTAAAAAAGAGGACTGAGCACGCCCCCATTCTCATCGACGGGGCTGTAGTTGAACAGGTTGTGAGCTTCAAGTTCCTTGGTGTCCACATCACCAACAAACTATCATGGTCCAAACACACCAAGACAGTCGTGAAGAGGGCACGACAAAGCCTATTCCCCCTCAGGAGACTGAAACGATTTGGCATGGGTCCTCAGATCCTCAAAATGTTATACAGCTGCACCATCGAGAGCATCCTGACTGGTTGCATCACCGCCTGGTATGGCAACTTCTTGGCCTCCGACCGCAAGGCACTACAGAGGGTAGTGCGTACGGCCTGTTACATCACTGGGGCCAAGCTTCCTGCCATCCAGGACCTCTATACCAGGCAGTGTCAGAGGAAGGCCCTAAAAATTGTCAAAGACTCCAGCCACCTTAGTCAAGTCTAGGTCCAAAAGGCTTCTTAACAGCTTCTACCCCCAAGCCATAAGACTCCTGAACAGCTAATCATGGCTACCCGGACTATTTGCATTGTCCCCCCCATCCCACCCCCTCTTTTACGCTGCTGCTACTCTCTGTTTATTATCTATGCATAGTCACTTTAACTCTACCAAGATGTAGATGTTTTATTTATTTATTTATTTAACCTTTATTTAACCAGGTAAGCCAGTTGAGAACAAGTTCTCATTTACAACTGCGACCTGGCCAAGATAAAGCAAAGCAGTGCGGAAAAACAACAACAACACAGAGTTACATATGGAATAAACAAAATGTACAGTCAATAACACAATAGAAAATCTACATACAGTGTATGCAAATGTAGTAAGTTATGGAGGTAAGGCAATAAATAGGCCATAGTGCAAAATAATTACAATTATAATTTAGTATTAACACTGGAGTGATAGATGTGCAGAAGATGATGTGCAAATAGAGATACTGGGGTGCAAATTAGCAAAATAAATAACAATGTAAATAACAATATGGGGATGAGGTAGTTGGGTGGGCTAATTACAGATGGGCTGTGTACAGGTGCAGTGATCGGTAAGCTGCTCTGACAACTGATGCTTAAAGATAGTGAGGGAGATAAGTCTCCAGCTTCAGAGATTTTTGCAGTTCGTTCCAGTCATTTGCAGCAGAGAACTGGAAGGAATGGCGACCAAAGGAGGTGTTGGCTTTGGGGATGACCAGTGAGATATACCTGCTGGAACGCATACTACGGGTGTGTGTTGCTATGGTGACCAATGAGCTAAGATAAGGCAGGGATTTGCCTAGAAGGGATTCATAGATGACCTGGAGCCAGTGGGTTTGGCAACGAATATGTAGTGAGGGCCAGCCAACGAGAGCGTACAGGTCACAATTGTGGGTAGTATATGGGGCTTTGGTGACAAAACGGATGGCACTGTGATAGACTACATCCAATTTGCTGAGTAGAGTGTTGGAAGCTATTTTGTAAATGACATCGCCGAAGTCAAGGATCGGTAGGATAGTCCGTTTTACGAGGGCATGTTTAGCAGCATGAGTGAAGGAGGCTTTGTTGTGAAATAGGAAGCCGATTCTAGATTTAACTTTGGATTGGAGATGCTTAATGTGAGTCTGGAATGAGAGTTTACAGTCTAACCAGACACCTAGGTATTTGTAGTTGTCCACATATTCTAAGTCAGAGCCGCCGAGAGTAGTGATTCTAGTCGGGCAGGCGGGTGCAAGCAGCATTCGATTGAAGAGCATGCATTTGGTTTTACTAGCATTTAAGAGCCGTTGGAGGCCACGGAAGGAGTGTTGTATGGCATTGAAGCTCGTTTGGAGGTTTGTTAACACAGTGTCCAATGAAGGGCCAGATGTATACAAAATGGTGTCGTCTGCGTAGAGGTGGATCTGAGGGTCACCAGCAGCAAGAGCGACATCATTGATATACACAGAGAATAGAGTCGGCCCGAGAATTGAACCTTGTGGCACCCCCATAGAGACTTCCAGAGGTCCAGACAACAGGCCCTCCGATTTGACACGTTGAACTCTATCTGAGAAGTAGTTGGTGAACCAGGCGAGGCAGTCATTTGAGAAACCAAGGCTATTTAGTCTGCCAATAAGAATGCGGTGATACAGTCAAAAGCCTTGGCCAGGTCAATGAAGATGGCTGCGCAGTCTTTTATCGATTGCGGTTATTTTATCATTTAGGACATTGAGCGTGGCTGAGGTGCACCCATGACCAGCTCGGAAACCGGATTGCATAGCGGAGAAGGTACAGTGGGATTCTAAATGGTCGGTGATCGGTTTGTTAACTTGGCTTTCAAATACTTTCGAAAGGCAGGGCAGGATGGATATAGGTCTGTAACAGTTTGGATCTAGAGTGTCACCCCCTTTGAAGAGGGGGATGACCGCGGCAGCTTTCCAATCTCTGGGGATCTCAGACGATAAGAAAGAGAGGTTGAACAAGCTGGTGATAGGGGTTGCGACAATTTCGGTGGCTAATTTTAGAAAGAAAGGGCCCAGCTAGGGGTCCAGATTTTGCAGCTCTTTCAGAACATCAGCTATCTGAATTTGGGTGAAGGAGAAGCGGGGGGGGGATGGGCAATTTGCAGCGGAGGGTGCAGAGCTGGTGGCCGGGGTAGGGGTAGCCAGGGGTATGGGGTAGCCAGGTGGAAAGCATGGCCAGCCGTAGCAAAATGCTTGTTGACATTTTCGATTATCGTAGATTTATCGGTAGTGACAGTGTTTCCTAGCCTCAGTGCAGTGGGCAGCTGGGAGGAGGTGATCTTATTCTCCATGGACTTTACAGTGTCCCAAAACTTTTTGGAGTATATTACCTCAATTACCTGGACTAACCAGTGCCCCCGCACATTGACTCTGTACCGGTACCCCCTGTATATAGCCTCCCTACTGTTATTTTACTGCTGCTCTTTAATATTTGTTTTTCTTTTTTTACTTATTATTTTTTACTTAACACTTTTTTTCTAAAAACTGCATTGTTGGTTAAGGGCTTATAAGAAAGCATTTCACTGTAAGGTCTACACCTGTTGTATGATTTGACATGCGCCGAATACAACAGGTGTAGACCTTACCGTGAAATGCTTTCTTACAAGCACTTAACCAACAATAAAGTTCAAGAAAGAGTTAAGAAAATATTGACCAAATAAACTAAAGTAAAAAATAATAAAAAGTAACACAATAAAACAACAATAACGAGGCTATATACCGAGTCAATGTGCGGGGGTAATTTGTACATGTAGGTAGGGGTAAAGTGACTATACATACAGTGAGGGAAAAAAGTATTTGATCCCCTGCTGATTTTGTACGTTTGCCCACTGACAAAGAAATGATCAGTCTATCATTTTAATGGTAGGTTTATTTGAACAGTGAGAGACAGAATAACAACAACAAAATCCAGAAAAACCCATGTCAAAAATGTTATAAATTGATTTGCATTTTAATGAGGGAAATAAGTATTTGACCCCCTCTCAATCAGAAAGATTTCTGGCTTCCAGGTGTCTTTTATACAGGTAACGAGCTGAGATTAGGAGCACACTCTTAAAGTATAAAAGACACCTGTCCACAGAAGCAATCAATCAATCAGATTCCAAACTCTCCACCATGGCCAAGACCAAAGAGTTCTCCAAGGATGTCAGGGATAAGATTGTAGACCTACACAAGGCTGGAATGGGCTACAAGACCATCGCCAAGCAGCTTGGTGAGAAGGTGACAACAGTTGGTGCGATTATTCGCAAATGGAAGAAACACAAAAGACCTGTCAATCTCCCTCGGCCTGGGGCTCCATGCAAGATCTCACCTCGTGGAGTTGCAATGATCATGAGAACGGTGAGGAATCAGCCCAGAACTACACGGGAGGATCTTATCAATGATCTCAAGGCAGCTGGGACCATAGTCACCAAGAAAACAATTGGTAACACACTATGCCGTGAAGGACTGAAATCCTGCAGCGGCGCAAGGTCCCCCTGCTCCAGAAAGCACATATACATGCCCGTCTGAAGTTTGCCAGTGAACATCTGAATGATTCAGAGGAGAACTGGGTGAAAGTGTTGTGGTCAGATGAGACCAAAATGGAGCTCTTTGGCATCAACTCAACTCGCCGTGTTTGGAGGTGGAGGAATGCTGCCTATGACCCCAAGAACACCATCCCCACCATCAAACATGGAGGTGGAAACATTATGCTTTGGGGGTGTTTTTCTGCTAAGGGGACAGGACAACTTCACCGCATCAAAGGGACGATGGACGGGGCCATGTACCGTCAAATCTTGGGTGAGAACCTCCTTCCCTCAGCCAGGGCATTGAAAATGGGTCGTGGATGGGTATTCCAGCATGACAATGACCCAAAACACACAGCCAAGGCAACAAAGGAGTGGCTCAAGAAGAAGCACATTAAGGTCCTGGAGTGGCCTAGCCAGTCTCCAGACCTTAATCCCATAGATAATCTGTGGAGGGAGCTGAAGGTTCGAATTGCCAAACGTCAGGCTCGAAACCTTAATGACTTGGAGAAGATCTGCAAAGAGGAGTGGGACAAAATCCCTCCTGAGATGTGTGCAAACCTGGTGGCCAACTACAATAAACGTCTGACCTCTGTGATTGCTAACAAGGGTTTTGCCACCAAGTACTAAGTCATGTTTTGCAGAGGGGTCAAATACTTATTTCCCTCATTAAAATGCAAATCAATTCATAACATTTTTGACATGCGTTTTTCTGGATTTTTTTGTTGTTATTTTGACTCTCACTGTTCAAATAAACCTACCATTAAAATTATAGACTGATAATTTCTTTGTCAGTGGGCAAACGTACAAAATCACATTGTATGATTTTTAAGTAATTAATTTGCATTTTATTGCATGACATAAGTATTTGATCACCTACCAACCAGTAAGAATTCCGGCTCTCACAGACCTGTTTTTCTTTAAGAAGCCCTCCTGTTCTCCACTCATTAGCTGTATTAACTGCACCTGTTTGAACTTGTTACCTGTATAAAAGACACCTGTCCACACACTCAATCAAACAGACTCCAACCTCTCCACAATGGCCAAGACCAGAGAGCTGTGTAAGGACATCAGGGATAAAATTGTAGACCTGCACAAGGCTGGGATGGGCTACAGGACAATAGGCAAGCAGCTTGGTGAGAAGGCAATAACTGTTGGCGCAATTATTAGAAAATGGAAGAAGTTCAAGATGACGGTCAATCACCCTCGGTCTGGGGCTCCATGCAAGATCTCACCTCGTGGGGCATCAATGATCATGAGGAAGGTGAGGGATCAGCCCAAAACTACACGGCAGGACCTGGTCAATGACCTGAAGAGAGCTGGGACCACAGTCTCAAAGAAAACCATTAGTAACACACTACGCCGTCATGGATTAAAATCCTGCAGCGCACGCAAGGTCCCCCTGCTCAAGCCAGCGCATGTCCAGGCCCGTCTGAAGTTTGCCAATGACCATCTGGATGATCCAGAGGAGGAATGGGAGAAGGTCATGTGGTCTGATGAGACAAAAATAGAGCTTTTTGGTCTAAACTCCACTCGCCGTGTTTGGAGGAAGAAGAAGGATCAGTACAACCCCAAGAACACCATCCCAACCGTGAAGCATGGAGGTGGAAACATAATTCTTTGGGGATGCTTTTCTGCAAAGGGGACAGGACGACTGCACCGTATTGAGGGGAGGATGGATGGGGCCATGTATCGCGAGATCTTGGCCAACAACCTCCTTCCCTCAGTAAGAGCATTGAAGATGGGTCGTGGCTGGGTCTTCCAGCATGACAACGACCCGAAACACACAGCCAGGGCAACTAAGGAGTGGCTCCGTAAGAAGCATCTCAAGGTCCTGGAGTGGCCTAGCCAGTCTCCAGACCTGAACCCAATAGAAAATCTTTGGAGGGAGCTGAAAGTCCGTATTGCCCAGCGACAGCCCCGAAACCTGAAGGATCTGGAGAAGGTCTGTATGGAGGAGTGGGCCAAAATCCCTGCTGCAGTGTGTGCAAACCTGGTCAAGACCTACAGGAAACATATGATCTCTGTAATTGTAAACAAAGGTTTCTGTACCAAATATTAAGTTCTGCTTTTCTGATGTATCAAATACTTACGTCATGCAATAAAATGCAAATTAATTACTTAAAAATCATACAATGTGATTTTCTGGATACAGACCTCTACATGCTTTGTAAGTAGGAAAACCTGCAAAATCGGCAGTGTATCAAATACTTGTTCTCCCCACTGTATATGGACAAGCAATGACAGAGCGGCATGGACTAAGATACAGAAGAATATTATAGAATAGAATGCAGTATATACATATGAGATGAGTAGTGCAAGATATGTAAACATTATTAAAGTGACTAGTGTTCCATTTCTTAAAGTGGCCAGTGATTTCAATAGGCAGCAGCAGCCTCTAATGTGCTAGTGATGGCTATTTAACAGTCTGATGTCCTAGAAGCTGTTTTTCATTCTCTCTGTCCCAGCTTTGATGCACCTGTACTGACCTCGCCTTCTGGATGATAGCGGGGTGAACAGGCAGTGGCTCGGGTGGTTGATATCCTTGATGATCTTTTTGGCCTTCCTGTGACATCGGGTGCTGTATGTGTCTTGGAGGGCGGGTAGTTTGCCCCCGGTAATGCATTCGGCAGACCGCACCACCCTCTGGAGAGCCCTGCGGTTGTGGGCGGTGCAGTTGCCGTACCAGGTGGTGATACAGCCCGACAGGATGCTCTCAATTGTGCATCTGTAAAAGTTTGTGAGGGTTTTAGGTGATAAGCCACATTTCTTCAGCCTCCTGAGGTTGAAGAGGCTCTGTTGCGCCTTCTTCACCACACTGTCTGCGTGGGTGGACCATTTCAATTTGTCGGTGATGTGTACGCCATGGAACTTGAAGCTTTCCACCTTCTCCACTGCGGTCCCGTCAATGTGGATGGGGGGTGCACCCTCTGCTGTTTCCTGAAGTCCACAATCATCTCCTTTGTTTTGTTGACGTTGAGTGAGAGGTTATTTTCCTGACACCACACTCCGAGAGCCCTCACCTCCTCCCTGTAGGCGGTCTCGTCATTGTTGGTAATCAAGCCTACTACTGTTGTGTCGTCTGCAAACTTGATGATTGAGTTGGAGGCGTGCTTGGCCACGCAGTCATGGGTGAACAGGGAGTACAGGAGGGGGCTGAGCACGCACCCTTGTGAGGCCCCAGTGTTGAGGATCAGCGAAGTGGAGATGTTGTTTCCTACCTTCACCACCTGGGGGCGGCCCGTCAGGAAGTCCAGGACCCAGTTGCACAGGGCGGAGTTCAGACCCAGGGCCTCGAGCTTAATGATGAGCTTGGAGGGTACTATGGTGTTGAATGCTGAGCTATAGTCAATGAACAGCATTCTTACATAGGTATTCCTCTTGTCCAGATGGGATAGGGCAGTGTGCAGTGTGAATGCAATTGCATCGTCTGTGGATCTATTGGGGCGGTAAGCAAATTGAAGTGGGTCTAGGGTACATTCTCCACTTCATGCGTGAATTCAAGAATTTAATTGGAATTTCAAATTAAATTGGAATTGACTCCAACCCTCGTGCCTATACCACTCAAGGATGAACCATCATAACACTTTCTCTCATAGAAAATGTATTCCTGCTCCTTATAAGGAAGGATTCAACAAGGGACTCACAGTTGTCTTGGTGAGGTTCTTCGGTGGTCTGAGAGGGTCACCGGCCCAGAAAAGGAAAGCTGATTGACCAGATGTTGTCATGATTGAGGTACCTTCCAGGTCAAGGCGTGGACAAATAAACTCTGTCTCCCATAGACTACGCCCACTGGCTCCATCAACCACCTGAACCTGAGATCATAGAGAGATGGATGGTAATCTTTGTAAATATGTATCACTGTCTGAGAAGTATAATAGCTATAGTTGTAAGTGTTTGTAGAAGGAGATTATACTTTTCTCATTCTAGGGGCCCCAGACTTCTGTATGAGGAGATCTGGGATTCCATCATCGTTGAATTGGCCTGGTGCTGGACGACTGAGACAATAATACATTATTCAGGTTATTTTAGCTCTATAACTTTATAGGGCAGGTGTTTACATACAGTTGAAGTCGGAAGTTTACATACACTTAGGTTGGAGTCATTAAAACTTGTTTTTCAACCACTCCACAAATGTCTTGTTAACAAACTATAGTTTTGGCAAGTCGGTTAGGACATCTACTTTGTGCATGACACAAGTAATTTTTCCTACAATTGTTTACAGACAGATTATTTCACTTATAAGTCACTGTATCACAATTCCAGTGGGTCAGAAGTTTACATACACTAAGTTGACTGCCTTTAAACAGCTTGGAAAATTCCAGGAAATGATGTCATGGCTTTAGAAACTTCTGATAGGCTAATTGACATAATTTGAGTCAATTGGAGTTGTACCTGTGGATGTATTTCAAGGCCTACCTTCAAACTCATTGCCTCTTTGCTTGACATCATGGGAAAATCAAAAGAAATCAGCCAAGACCTCAGAAAAAGAATTGTAGACCTCCACAAGTCTGGTTCATCCTTGGGAGCAATTTCCAAATGCCTGAAGGTACCACGTTCATCTGTACAAACAATAGTACGCAACTATAAACACCATGGGACCACGCAGCCGTCATACCGCTCAGGAAGGAGACGCGTTCTGTCTCCTAGAGATGAACGTACTTTGGTGCGAAAAGTGCAAATCAATCCCAGAACAACAGCAAAGGACCTTGTGAAGATGCTGGAGGAAACAAGTACAAAAGTATCTATATCCACAGTAAAACGAGTCCTATATCAACATAACCTGAATGGCCGCTCAGCAAGGAAGAAGCCACTGCTCCAAAACCGTCATAAAAAAGCCAGACTACGGTTTGCAACTGCACATGGGACAAAGATCGTACTTTTTGGAGAAATGTCCTCTGGTCTGATGAAACAAAAATAGAACTGTTTGGACATAATGAACTTCGTTATGTTTGGAGGAAAAAGGGGGGACTTGCAAGCCGAAGAACACCATCCCAACCGTGAAGCACGGGGGTTTGCTGCAGGAGGGACTGGTGCACTTCACAAAATAGATGGCGTCATGAGGAAGGAAAATTATGTGGATATATTGAAGCAACATCTCATGACATCAGTCAGGAAGTTAAAGCTTGGTCGCAAATGGGTCTTCCAAATGGACAATGACCCCAAGCATACTTCCAAAGTTGTGGCAAAATGGCTTAAGGACAACAAAGTCAAGGTATTGGAGTGGCCATCACAAAGCCCTGACCTCAATCCTATAGAACATTTGTGGGCAGAACTGAAAAGGTGTGTGCGAGCAAGGAGGCCTACAAACCTGACTCAGTTACACCAGCTCTGTCAGGAGGAATGGGCCAATATTCACCCAACTTATTGTGGGAAGCTTGTGGAAGGCTACCCGAAATGTTTGACCGAAGTTAAACAATTTAAAGGCAATGCTACCAAATACTAATTGAGTGTATGTAAACTTCTGACACACTGGGAATTTGATGAAAGAAATAAAAGCTGCTATTATTCTGACATTTCACATTCTTAAAATAAAGTTGTGATCCTAACTGACCTAAGACAGGGACTTTTTACTAGGATTAAATGTCAGTAATTGTGAAAAGCTGAGTTTAAATGTATTTAGCTAAGGTGTATGTAAATTTCCGACTTCAACTGTACCTCTCCTCGGGGATCCCCAGTTGTTCCATTCAACTGGTCAACTAATTACCAAGCCCTTGATTAGGTAAAGTAGTTGAGCTAGTTCAGGGCTACAATTAAATTGTGAAACTTCTGGGGGTCCCCGAGGAGAGGTTTGAAAACCACTGTTATAGGGTATTACTTTACTTTATAGTTGTATATATTGATATTGATATTGATTACTGTATTGTTGGGAAAAGAGCTGGCAAGAAAGGCATTTCACTGTACTTGTGCACATGACAATAAAACCTGAAGCTATCACTTTGATGCTTTAGTCATATACACCCTAATGATAAACTTCTCCATATATCATAGTGACCATAACTATATGTCCTACCTGTGTATGGCTGAGGAGGTAAGAGTCCACTTGGTGTGTGCGTCCTTCTCTCTCAGCACAGACAGCTTGCTGGAGAGCTTGCCACACACCAGCACCAAGTCACTGCGGCTGGAGTTGAGGTTGGAGATTGAGTCCAAGCTGTTGTGGTTGTTACACAAGCCAGCCACTAGGGAGACCAAGAACTCCACTTGCTCAGTTCCACTGGACAGAGAAAGTCAAAGATGAATGGGTGCTGTTAGTCCTTCAAACAGGCACTCTTTTGTAATTGTGTAACCTAGCACTTTCTCAGCCTTACCTGGAGATGTGTATGAGGGAGGAGGAGTTGGTTTTCCTAAGCTTCTCCCAGCCGGGGTCCTTCAGTCTTAGGCCAGGGGATATGGGTGTTTTTCCAGTAGCCCGAGTGTAAATATCTCCCAGGGATACAGCCTCTACAGTGCCTGAGTTAGTATAGCAGATACATTATCAGACATTTAGTCATTTCAAACGGGAAACATATTTTTTCAAAGTCACTGTGCTTGATATAAAATGAATCCCTTACCTAGTCCAAACAGAATGTAGTATGCCCCCAGTTGTGTCTCATGAAACAGGGGACCAATCAGCTTGCCAGAGACATTAAAGGTCGTGAGGTTAAAGGTCATGGGATGTCCAAGCAGATCTCCAGTCAGCCCAGACAGCAGGAGCAGTGAGAGGTCAGACACCTGAAAATAAGTTCAAGACAGTTTGATAGGAGCATTCTAGACTGACTGGAAAATTAGTGTTGTTAACACAGTGACTCTGAAGATTTGGGAGTATGGTCTATATTGTAATAATAATATGATTTATATAGTAACAATTGTCTTATTACAGCCATAAATATGTATAGGTGCCAAGCCAGAGATTGTCATACCTGGTCAGAAGGTAAAGTGGCAATCAGCAAGTCAGGAACAGTGTCGCCTTGGAGATCTGGCAGGGAGACTGCCTGGGACTGGATCTCTCCTGGGGCTACCGACCACAGCTTCTTCCCTGAGGAGGAAAATACAATAGGTTACTCCTTACTGAACATAAATCTATTAACTACAACACATTATTAATAAATCTACACATCAACTGCTAAAATGTTCATGCTTGTAGCTGTGAAACGGAACCATTAAAAGTCAGGATTTTCTGTGGTTGTTGTCTGACCTGTGGTGCCGTTGACAGCGGTGAGGTGTGCAGAACTGATGAGCAGACACACGGGGCCGCTAGCCCTGTCTCTCTGGCCAGATAGGGAAATAGCGCTGTTGGGGAAGGCTCTGAGGGCAGCGCCCCCTGCTGGCATTGGTGATGGGTGGGCTTCGTACTGCAGCCCACACTGGATGGACTCCACAGGTTCCCTGAGGACCCTCTTCCATAGCACCTCACCACTGAATGCAGATAGGGCCACCACACTGTACTCTGGTAGAGACAGCGAGGGAGATAGAGAAGGGGGTATAGGTGGGTGGGGTTCATTGTGTGTTCTCAGAAGTTTACTGGGGCTAGCAGGATTAGATATGGAGATTAATATGACATAATCACTGATAGATTTTGATGGTGTATATTGTACAGGGGGAGGAGGTGGGCTTTAGAGAGAATAACGCCTAAAAATGAGGGTTGAAAATACACTACCGGTAAAAAGTTTTAGAACACCTACTCATTCAAGGGTTTTTCTTTATTTGTACTATTTCTACATTGTAGAATAATAGTGAAGACATCAAAACTATGAAATTTTACATTTTAGTCATTTAGCAGACATTTTAGTCATTTGTGCAAAGCTGTCATCAAGGCAAAGGGTGGCTTCTTTGAAGAATCTCAAATATATTTGGATTTGTTTAACACTTTTTGGGTTACTACATGATTCCATATGTGTTATTTCATAGTTTTGATGTCTTCACTATTATTCTACAATGTAGAAAATAGTAAAAATAAAGAAAAACTATGAAATGAGTAGGTGTGTCCAAACTTTTGACTGGTACTGTATATAGTGTATGCGTTGTGATAATTGTTGTTTGTTCTATAACCTGTTAGTTCATATGCCTTGCGACCGTGATTTATAGGCCTAAGGCCGAGACAATAAGAAGACACAGTGGCAGAATAAATTCTACCACACCATTGTTTCATCACAAAACCGGAGAGCAACCTCTGTCCGGTGAAGTCCACAAAGCATATTGCATGTAACAAACAGTTACATGACCTACAGCATGGTGAAGAAAGTTCATGTTTTTGCCATTTTTGGACTACTAAACAACTATTGATTTAGAAACACGGAGAGTTACTGCAAGTCACAATGAAAACAGGAGCTGTCTCCACTATTTCAGCACCATTTCAACTTCAACATTTCAACACCATCAAATCACCTATGCTTAGTCTAATACAGGGACAACTAAAATATACCAAAAACAATTTAGTCCAATCAATTTAAGTTAAATATGATGTGGCTGTCCATGGTTCTGATTTCAAATCAAATCAATTGAGATGGTTTGGGATGAGTCGGACAGCAAAGTGAAGGAAATGCAGCCAACAAGTGCTCAGCATATGTGGGAACTCCTTCAAGACTGTTGGAAAAGCATTCCAGGTGAAGCTGGTTGAGAGAATGCCAAGAGTGTGCAAAGCTGTCATCAAGGCAAAGGGTGGCTACTTTGAAGAATCTCAAATATGGTTCTGATTTCAAATCAAATCAAATTGTATTTGTCACATGCGCTGAATACAACAGGTGTAGACCTTACAGTGAACTGCATACTTAACCAACAATGCAGTTTTAAGAAAAATAAGTGTTAAGTAAAAAAAAGATAAGTAAAAAAAAAAATTAGAAAAATAGAAAAATAACAAATAATTAAAGAGCAACAATAAAATAACAGTAGTGAGGCTGTTTGTTGTTTCCATTGATACCTTTGTTGTTCCCCACAGAACTGGAGAGATGGGTATTGTTGCTCTTTTGAGTGACTCCTATTAGCACATCCTCAACTGAGTCATTGTCGACATCCCACAGTGCAAGAGGAGGTGGGGTAACACCTGAAGCAAAAGAAAAACACTGTTACAGACAGCAACGGTTTGTAACTACTATTTACTAAACTATACCTGCGGTTGCTTTGCTAACATGCTATTATAATTATCACGGTAATGTGTAATCATAGTAATCCAGACTGTGTAATATCCACCCCCTGGCAAAAAGTCAGCTAAATCTGAGTTTTGTGTTCTCAACTGCTTTCTCATACAGTTGACTTTATGGTAATGTTGACTGTGTGCTTATCTTAATCTAAAGCACTAGTCTACTCAGAGTCTGACCAGTCTGACCTAACCTGTAGTTTTCTCTTTCTCTGGTGTGAGAGAGACGTGTATTGGTATCAGCAACCAGCAACATGCGGGTAAACTGTAGTCTGTTTTCATGTGTATTGTTTATACATTAGACTCCTCACTCACCTCCCACATGATCACCCAGCTTTTTCTCCCACTGCGGCCGTTTGTCCAGTTCCCCCTGCTGACAAGGCACCAAAAAGGCACACAGCAGCACCACCAGCATGACACAGACCAGAGGCACCAGGAAAAACGCAGCCCGGATGGCTCCCCTCACCTTAGCCTTCTTCCCGTCCGGGTCAGCACTGGCACTGACACCCAATCCAGGACCACCAGAGGCCCCAAGCCCCCCTTCCCCCTCTACTCCCCCATCCCTGTTTGTCTCCCTCTGGCTCCAGTACTGCATGCCCTTCTCCTCTCTCTCCTGCCTCTTTTTTCCCGGGAGCCGTTCTCTCCACTCATCGTCGTCCTCCTCTTTCTCCTCCGCCTCCTCTTCATCCTCTACGAGCCTCCCTGTTCTGCTCCCTCTCAGCTCTGAGGTACCTGCGCCCATGCAGTTGCCCCTCCCCAGGCCATTGCGGGGATAGTTGAGGACCAGGTCGTCCTCCTCGCTCTCGTCCTCACTGTCGGCCTGAGTGAGGGGGTCATACTCTCCAAGCTCCGAGCCCTTCTTCCCTGTGAGGGACACACACACAAAGATACACACGGTTAACCTTTTACTGCAGTGGGCTAAATCAGGGTCACACAGAGTGTTTCTTGGTAGTCTTAAACAAATCTAAATTGAAACAGAAGTATACACCTCACACACCATGTCAGATATAGAGTTGAAATGTATTACATTTTGTGTTTGCATCACAATATTACACTTTATATACATCACAGAAGACTGAAATATAACAAAACATAGAAACACCGGATTTTCGGGAACTTAATTTTTTTTATTATATTGATTAATTATGATATTCTGAAAAATAGTAATAACATTCCACCCGAGGCCACTAGAGCTCGATTTGGTCATTTGACTGCAGGAAAGGGGTCTACGGATCTGTTTGGGAAACAAGGCCCAGGTGAAAACTAGAATGATCTGATAGAGCATGCGGTGCCTGATAGAACGATAGGCAGCCCAAAAGGACAGGGAAGTTACTCAAATATTGTTTATTTTAACGCCATATTAATTATGTCCTACCCTGGTCCCAGATCTGTTTATTTTTGCCGACTCTATTGCTCATTGTTTGGCATGACAATGATTGACAAGTTAAATGAATAACCCCCATTACATGGCCGTACTTGTAGTTATTTGTTGAACACGAGATTTAAGCAAGTAGCTAAATCCGTTATAACATTATTATGAAAGTGAGCACTGAGCAATCAAGCGACTTTGATGTGGCACCTTACTGTACTGTACAGTAGCTAGCTAGTGCGCCACATAGGATTGTGAATGATGCAATGATGCTTTTCTATTAAAGCTTGAAAAGAAAAGAAATATCAAACATTGAAAATAAGTGTCGTATTTCACCTCTCAATTCTGGACTGTCATTAAACAAATAAAACAATTTTTTTGTGTTATTGCAATCGACATTAGCTACAGCTGGCTGGCTGTTCTAGATAGCTCATGTGAGCTAACAGAATGACACCAAAACAACATTGAGACAAGACACGACTGGTACAAAGACTACACAACATCCCTTTCACCTAATCAACCCTTATATCTATTTCCCAAACAATTGCAACGCGTCTCTTACCGGGCAATTTGAGAGCACGGGACAAAGCTGCAGCCATTGTAAATTGTAACGGCGCTATGCTGCAGAATTTATCCTCTCAGCCGACCGAGGCACCAAAGTGCTATGTGTGTGCTGTGTGTGCCACACTGTGGGACGTTTCGGGACTGTAGCGAGTGCATTCTGGGATAGTGTCAAGGGAAGCCAGTATGGATATCACAGAGAAATATGTCATTGATTGAAACAACTTCAATTGTTGCATCTCATTGTGTTGTTGTCCTCCGGTGGCTAGCTAGCTAAAATTGTCCCTTTCCTAAATTAGCAATGGATGGAGATAGGGATTTGAACTTGTGGTTTTACTAAATTCGAGGTACTGGCCAATGATTATAACAGCGATTCTGATCCAATCATAAAATACATTGTGCCCCTGGACTGAGAGGATGGAAGTTCAATATGTAAGTTGTAGCTAGATGTAGAAGGCTAATATTAACTAGCTGACGTTGCCCATGAAAGGAAGTTAGTTAGTCTAGCGAGCAAGCATTTTAGCCAGGTAGCCTAGGGCAACAAAAAATACACGTGTGTACTGTATGACAGAGTCATAGACCGTTTCGTCAACTTTAAAGAGAGGAGGATGGCATTGGCGTTTCTCTACAAGTAGGAATGAATGCACAAACACACACACAAATCAGAACCATATGGACAGCCACATCATATTTAACTTAAATTGATTGGACTAAATAGTTTTTGGTATATTTTAGTTGTCCCTGTATTAGACTAAGCATAGGTGATTTGATGGTGTTGAAATGTTGAAGTTGAAATGGTGCTGAAATAGTGGAGACAGCTCCTGTTTTCATTGTGACTTGCAGTAACTCTCCGTGTTTCTAAATCAATAGTTGTTTAGTAGTCCAAAAATGTCGGAAACATGAACTTTCTTCACCATGCTGTAGGTCATGTAACTGTTTGTTACATGCAAAATGCTTTGTGGACTTTAACGGACAGAGGTTGCTCTCTGGTTTTTGTGATGAAACAAAGGTGTGGTTGAATTTATTCTGCCACTGTGTCTTCTTATTGTCTCGGCCTTAGGCATATATCACGGTCGCAAGGCATATGAACTAACAAGTTATAGAACAAACAACGCAATTATCACAACTATATATACAAAAGTATGTGGACACCCCTTCAAATTAGGGGATTCGGCTATTTCAGCCACACCCGTTGCTGACAAGTGTATAAAATCGAGCACACCGCCATGCAATCTCCATAGACAAACATTGGCAGTAGAATGGCCTTACTGAAGAGCTCAGTGAATTTCAACGTGGCACCGTCATAGGATGCCACCTTTCCAACAAGTCAGTTCGTCAAATTTCTGCCCAGCTAGAGCTGCCACGGTCAACTGTAAGTGCTGTTATTGTGAAGTGGAAACGTCTAGGAGCAACAACGGCTCAGCAGCGAAGTGGTAGGCCACACAAGCTCACAGAACGGGACTGCCGAGTGCTGAAGTGTGTAGCGTGTAAAAATCGTCTGTCCTCGGTTGCAACACTCACTGGAGTAATGAATCACACCACCATCTGGCAGTCCGACGGACAAATCTGGGTTTGGTGGATGCCAGGAGAATGCTACCTGCCCCAATGCATAGTGGCAACTGTAAAGTTTGGTGGAGGCGGAATAATGGTCTGGGGCTGTTTTTCATGGTTCGGGCTAGGCCCCTTAGTTCCAGTGAAGGGAAATCTTAACGCTACAGCATACAATGACATTCTAGACGATTCTGTGCTTCCAACTTTGTGGTAACAGTTTTGTGACGGCCCTTTCCTGTTTCAGCATGACTATGCCCCTGTGCACAAAGTGAGGTCCATACAGATGGTTTGTTGAGATTGGTGTGGAAGAACTTGACTGGCCTGTACAAAGCCCTGACCTCAACACCATCGAACACCTTTGGGATGAATTGGAACATCGACTGAGAGCCAGGCCTAATGCTCTGGTGGCTGAATGGAAGCAAGTCCCCGCAGCAATGTTTCAACATCTAGTGGAAAGCCTTCCCAGAACAGTGGAGGCTTATAGCAGCAAAGGGGGGACCAACTACATATTAATGCCCATGATTTTGGAATGAGATGTTTGACGAGCAGGTGTCCACATACTTCTGGTCATGTAGTGTATGTTGTAGTTTTTTCTGGCTTGGCTTCCTCAGTGATTTTACCCACGCACCGCTACTGCTCTTTAGTGGTTATTACCACCAGAGATGGTTAGAATCTATACCGCCTCTGGTTATTACCCATCCAAGAAATGACTGAGAAAAATAATGTACAGTTTTACTGACTTTTATGGTGCATTAATGGAACCTTGTTTCATTACGGACTGGAAAGGAGGCTACAAAATACAATTTTGAGGTTGAAATGATATTTCACCACATGAGAGACCTTTCACATTGATTCATCTGATTTTGCATGTGTCCAGCTCTGTTCGGGAAGGTGTTTTACCACTTGGCTGTGGTAGGTCTGGTAGTGACAGTAGGATGGATAAGGGAGGCATGCATAGAGAAAAGACAGATATGGGACACAGATACAAGGCATCATACTTAGTCATGCTCACACAAGGTCAGGAAGGAAATTACATGACAAATAATGATCAGTTAAAAATAATCTACTATACCATGCCCTTAACACCAACATACACACACACTGATTCACTCTGCTCTGTATGCTTCTATAACTTTATAGTGACATTTTGGTTTTACAGTGTTCCTACCTTTTTGTATAGCCTACCATTTTTTGTATATATATACACAATACTGCCACCTCGTTGGCACAAAGTTAAATGCACTCTGGTTTTGGTGGAGATTCCGGAAACAATTTATGGTCAATAAAGAAAATATGCGCATTTTCCCCACAAGTGGTGTTTCCACAAAACGGACTTGTTGTTGATAAAAAACGAATAAAAATCTAAAGTTCAATGTGTTTCCATCGCATTTTCAACTCTAGCGATAGCTTTGTCACAAGAACTGTTACATTAAATAGCAAATGCGCCTACTACTCTGGTCTGGCACCTGCGCTCTAGCCAACAGCTGGCAGATAAAGTGCGGGTAGGCTAGTCTACCTAATGAGATAATTATGGATAAGAGCGAGAATATTTGTATTTGTCAAAAGGGCAGTCAAGCATCGATCATCAAGTCACCAGAATCAGACCCTCGTTGTTTATTGGAAAGGAGCATCAAGATCACCACTGTTGGTGAACACATAATAAGGAGAGGGAGTACAAACCATCGACGCTAGACAGAGAGGAATTTGCTTAATGCAAAAAGGCAGTTTATTAAAACAGAGAGATCTTGTCCTGCTCAAGCTACATGCATGGACCCAACCAATTGCCTCTTATGGAGACAGTTGAGAAGGGTGTTTAAACAGAGTTTACAGCATTACTTTATACAATGTAACATAAAGGAAGGGGTCCTTCTTCTAGTCCCTTGATTGGTTCCCGAGGCGTAGGAGGCGGGTCTGCTCTGTCCAGAGCAGATGCCCCATTGGTGCACGGCAGAGTCCTCTGCCCTTGGCACCCGACCAGTAGAGGGGGGGGGGGGGGGGGGGGGGGGGGGGTTGAGAATGAGTGTGCGTCCACAGTGAGATGTCTGTGTGTGTCAAAGGAAACTCGTGAGAAGCAACTGGTGGGGGCCTTGGGCCTGAGGTGTGGGTGTTGTCCAGTTATCGTACTCCTGTAAGATTAGGCCATCTGGTGCTCTGTTCTTTGTTCGCTACTAAAATGTTATGCACAGACAACTAACACACTGTTAGTATCAGACACATGACACAGAACATTTATTGAAAACAAGCTCCTAACACAATTTGTCTTGCACAACCTCTTGCACAACATATTACTCAGATCAATCTATAACATTTTATATTTACTACGACACCACCCTGTGAAGTTCATCATAAATGAATTAATCTGCAGCCTAATAAACTGCATGGTTTCCCGAGTCGTAGTGAAGGAGCACCCACCATGTTGTGTTCCTGTGACTCCAAGTTAAGTTTGATATGATGGTTATTAGATCAATATTTGCGCATAAAGGCGTTTCCACCTACATTTCTTGCATAATTACTTTTACCAACAAAAAAAGATCCCACCATGTAGAATGAACAAATTACCTGTCTACATTTATAAAATTGTACCGAAACTTCCTGTTTCCATCACAGCTTTCGGATATTTTTTTATAGGGTATGACTTTACTCATATAAAAACTGTGGATGGAAACGTGGTTAGAAGCTAGGTTTCCATCCAATTGGCAACAGATTTTCATGCTAATATTCTAAAATCAGCATAAAGAAAAGATGCAGATGAAAATCAGTGCGTGATGACGTAGTGCACACAACATTAACTTTTTCGCTTAAGTTTTCATGTACCAAATAAAAATCTAAAGTTCAATGTGTTTCCATCGCATTTTTAACTCTACCGATAATTTTGTGACAAAACTGTTTCGTTAATTAGCAAATGTGCCTACTCTGTCTTGATTTTTTAAAATACAGTATGACATTACTCGCATAAAAACTGCGGATGGAAACGTGGTTAGAGAAATAGAAGGCAGAGATGTTCTTTATGTTGATACAGGAAGTACTATTATAGATGCCTGACCTTCTGTCTTTTATGTAATAGTACGTCACAACCATGGAAAATATAATTCTGGTTCTGTGTAACCTTTTGTCAGTATCCCGAAAGTGGCTTACAGTTTACACTAGAGGTCGGGGCAGATCCATGTCCCGCAAGGCATCTCACAAAGTAGGTGAGTCACCTAAGCAGGCGGACCTGTGCCCGTTCAAAAATTTATCTCGCAAATCTAGGCGAGGACACGGGCGTCACCCCGCGTCGTTATTTTCCTTACTCATCAGTTTAAGGCATAATCAATCGATGGTCGAGGGCACTACTTAGCTCTGTATGCAGACTATTACGCTCATGGTGGTTACCATTGGAGGTCACTTCAAAAAGTATAAACCTACAGTTACATTTTATTTTCTGAGCGCATTATGTGATACATAATTAGACGTTTTCATTCCTCCATTTGATGAGGTAAAACATAGCTTTTCTACGATATATTTTACTTATTTACACTGGTTTCTAGAGATTTTGAGCGCAAAGGTTCATGGGAAAGATAAAACGTTTTCCCTTCCGCATTTTTTTTACTTCGTGAAGAGCAATCGATACCAGAGGTCTCTAAGGCTGTGCAATGGATTTATATTTGTTTATGTTTAATGTTAAAAGTATCATGTTTTGTTAATTGATAATGATCAATGGCATTGATGTGATCATTGACACTTCACATAACCTAATAGGCCTTTAAAACCATAAAAAAATATGCATTTCTCTTAAAATAATACACTCTGGTTTTTAGATCTTGCTAAACAAATGTAAGAGTAAAATATATCTGTATTGATATTTCAAACAACATAGATCTATTTAAATTGTATACGTAATTCTATCATGGTGTCAACAATGTAGTTTGGCAAGAAGCTCTCGAATAAATAATTTATTGAGTTCGCCCTTTTTGATCCAACTTGCCTTCCATAGTCTATTCTCATTTTTCTCTGTTCAGTTTCCGTCACTCACGCGTTTGAGTCAAAGAAGATGGAAGACATTTCTTTGGACGAAGTGATACGTCGACGTGGTTTCAACAACAAAGAAACAGTTAAAAGGTATTAATTTAGCAATTTATGAGTTTGAATGCAATTTATTATCGTTATGGTGCGTTATGCCTTGAGTTGTATCATTCAACGTAATGAAGAAATTCATTTTCCAGAAAGCCTATTTCAAATCCTCAGCCGTCCTGTTCAGACAAGGCCCGCCTGTACTCACGGTTGGATTACAACAGAGTTCTTCAATTCCGGTCCTGGAGGGCCGAAACACTTCTGTTTTTTTATTTCTACCTGGTAGTTAATTGCACTCACCTGGTGTCCCAGGTCTGAATTAGCCCCTGATTAGAAGGAGATGATGAAAAACAGAGGTGTTTCGGCCCTCCAGGACCGGAATTTAAGAACCCTGGATTACAATCATGTAGCTACTATCTATCGCTACACTGCAGACACTGATTTCCCTTGATATCAATGAGCCAAATACGCGCAGCTAGCTATTTATCAGGCCTCCGTTTTGTTAGTTAGCTAACTACTTAAAATAAAAAAGATTTATCAGCATTTGATAACGGTAGCTATCGAGCAATCAATAACCGAATAAGGTAAACAGTTCGCTGGAATGTAGGTAGGTAGTTAGCTAGCTAACTAATGTTAGCTAATTATAAACTAACAATGGTTACAAACGCGAAAACGTATAGCTAGCTAGTTAGTATACCCATAGATCAGGTACAGAGCGCGAGGCAGTCTTGTAGAGCTACTCTAGTGTACCCTCTACCCAGAGTCATATGTAGTCAACTAGTTGTAGCCTAGTCCTCCATTATCTAATGTTAAAATTTTGGAAAACACACAAGGAGCGTATATCGCTTTGAGTATACCTAGAGAGCCATACTGAATGTAGGACAAAATAATCAAATACTATAGCTGGTCTTATATGCGCTCCATGTGTGTTTTGCTAAATGTGGATATTAGGTAATGGAGGATTAAGCTACAACTAGTTGACTACCAATGTCGACCTCTTCTCTTCCTCTTGTCTTTCAGGCCTATGTTCGGCAGGGGTGCAGGAGGGGTCGGGAGGACCTTTGATGCCCGACAGAAAATTGGGATGACTGATGTCAGACAGAGACTTGGAGGAGGAGGAACCGGTAACCAAAAAACTGATTTTCAGTAGTATTAAATATTCAAGGGAATGACATTGTTGCAACTCAAACAATTATTTAATTCTGAACAGCTTTTGGAGCAATGCTCAAGGTAATAATACATTTTACATTTGAGTCATTTAGCAGACGCTCTTATCCAGAGCGACTTACAGGAGCAATAAGGGTTAAGTGCCTTGCTCAAGGGCACATCGACAGATTTTTCACCTAGTCTGCTCAGGGATTAGAACCAGCGACCTTTCAGTTACTGCCACAACACTCTTAACCACTAAGTTACCTGCCGCCCTATAGATGCCCCAGCCTTTGCCAGAGTTGAAGCAGGTATTTTGTGTGAGAACCTGCCTGTTGCACGATTGAGAAGTAGAGTGATGTATTCCATTTGACAGATTGATTTTGTGTCAAGTGGACATGAAAAATGCTTATTGAGACTTCGAGCTCTATGTGTATGCCATATTTGGATGTCTCTCTTACCTAAGCCCCATTACATTTTAGTCATTTACAAAATAATCTGTTTCAAACTACACATTTTACTGTTGGACTACATTACGTTCTGTTAAGCATTCTTACAAGTCAGATCAGACATTGGAATTGTTTCTTGCCTTCTGCTCACTCTTGTCCTAATCTCGCTTCCTCCAGCTTTTCAAGTGAAGGATGCCAGAGAGAAACTTGTCCAGAAAGATGCCCGCTTCCGAATCCGTGGTGGAGGAGGAGCAGGTGGGGTCCAGGATGCCCGACAGATGATCAACTCACGGAAAGGAGGACAGAATACATTTAATGTTACCCCACAGAGCTTACAGCAGATACCAGCAGCACAGCTACAGACACACGTGCAGCAGCAGATACAGATACACACTACCAACGACATTGCCAGTGCGAATGCCAGGCAGTTTACCCCCAACCTACAAGGAATGAACATTAGAGCTGAGGTTACGCCACAGCTGGGGGGTGCACCTAAGAGGATGATGGATGCTCGTGATAGGCTGAGCCTCAAGAGGAGCATTGGAGCTCCACCAAGCCAAGGAATGGCGGCACCCATGAAGATCACCAAAACCATCCAGGTAAGGGATCAGGCTGACAGTTGGCGCCAAAGTGATAGTAACCACAGGTCCAGGATCTGCTCTAATATTATCCAGGCCTAGCAACTAGACAAAATTGACCCGCTTGTCACTCAGGATGGGCATGGATAAGAGAAAATGCAAATTCTTACATTGTTTATAGTGGTAGAGCATAGCCTCACTCCAAACATAGTTGCAAGCTAAAGTTAATGGGAAATTAGTTTAAAATTCAACTAGGCTTATTTGGTTCTACAGTTCCTGTATGCTATTTATTGATTGGTAGCATGCTTTTAGAGTCAAATGTATTTATTCACCTTCTTCTGAATAATGATTTTATTTAACTTTTTTTAACAGCAAAGGCCGGTAGGGATGTCAAGTGGGATCCGTATGAACATGCCAAGCAGGGGTTCCCTGGTAAGGAACATTTTTGGAGAAGATAGGAATCAGAATTTAGATGCCAGAATTGATTCAAGTTGTCTTGTACTTTATCTATCAACTGAATTTGGTTGTTTTCTGCTGGTCATGCCCCACTGCAATGCATATATGAGTGAGTAATGTACCATATCTCCCTCAGTCTTTCTCAGGTGATGATGATGATGATGATATCCCTAGCAAACAGATGAAGACCACTACTGGCAACCATATGCTGCAGTCACGGGTGGGAAGACTATGCTAGACTTTCTTAACTTTTCTCTCTTTCTGTTGCTTTTCCCTAAATTATCTGTATCTGTAATTCTTTATTATTCAATATAAATCGAATATCCCTTTAATACCACCACACTGGCTGTATTGGTGTCTCACTCTCAACACTTTCTAGTCACTGAAAAGTTTCAATGCTCTCTCTCTTTCTCCAACAGCCTGGCACCCTGGGCTCCCCTTTCTCCATGTCAGCCCCCATCACTAAAGTAGTGAAAAATGATGCGTACACAGCTCCCCGTCCCCCAGTGCCTGTTGCACCCACAAGGCCCAGCCCTAGTGTGGGGGCCTCCCGCTCCTCTGCTTCCGCCTTACAGCCCATCTCCAGGACCCTCCAGCAGGCAGGGCCCACAGCTGAGCCCAGCTCCCAGCCTCTTCCACCCCCACAGGTCAGTCTCCATATGTCCCTTCACCCAGCTACTGGATTACATAAGGTAATCTCTATAGGAATGTGTTGCTAGGGATGCTAGCAGATACCCATATATTTCCAGTCCTTGTGCTAATGCTAGTTATAATTGGCTCGCAAGACTACCTCTAACTTCTTTCATACTGGACACAGAGACATAAAAATGGTATCCACAAGTTCATCTGACTCTGAGGAAGCAGATAAAGGGCCTCATTGTCAAAATCCCGAAGTATCCCTTTAACCGGTTAACAAGCGGTTCAATTAGTTCTAAACAGTAAAATTATGTGACCAACGGAAAATGCTTTGCATGTGTAAAAGGAACTTAAATTTTTCATATGAAGGAAAGCGTCCAGGTTTGAAAAATATTTAAGTATATGCTTTCAACATGTAGACTTCCACCAGCTCAGATTGCAAGGTGGTGGGTGAATAGAGAGGACGTGCACTTGCTTTTTTAACCATGCCAGATCGGCTACTCTGGTTGTAAAGCAGTGCAATTTGCTTAATATTAGGAGTTAAGAAATACAAATAGTAGTAATGGAAAGCTGGGATCCTCTTCTTTTGAATAGGCATGCGATTGAATTTAGAATTGTTGCGCAATGACTGGGCTTATAAGAACATGCCTCACTCCAAGCAGGCAGCGACCAGCTCAATGCTCGACAGGTGATATTCTCCTCGAACTAGGCTCTGTATGCGGTGCGCGTTTGATAAATAAGATACATGAGGAACTAACGAAAACACGCCAATTTAATTCCACTAAGTTATGCAAATTAACCTATAGACTGATAAGCATGACCGGTCAAATATATTGATGGCGGCTAACCGACTAACGGTTAACCGTTAAAGGTCAATTCCAGCCATTTTTATCTCAATATCAAATAATTTCTGGTTAACGATTAAGTGATTTGTTTTTTTTACAATTTTAATTGAAAACAAACACATTTATTCTTAGCAAAGAGCAATTTCTCAAGCAAGAATTTTGCTAGGACTATCTGGGAGTGCTCTGAGTGAGAAGGGGAAAACCAAAAACTAGCTGTTATTGGCAGAGAGGTTTGGAACTCTTTGTCTATTGACTAATTTACCGCATAGTGATGTCAGCAGGCAGGCCAAAACTCTGTCCCACCTCAACAGGCTGAAATTTCAGGCGGTCTTTTCAAACGGCTCCTACACTAAAAGGGCATTATAATTTTCACAGTATTATTCCAACTTCATAGTTTGGAAATTTATATAAACCACAGGAAAATCACGTTTTTGACTGCGCTGGGCCTTTTAACATCCCTAGTTGGCAGCATAGCAAGCCTCGGGGTCAGTAATCAACCTACTTCTCTCTCTAGTTGATGATAGATTAAAGTTAAAACTTAACCATTGACATGTTGAGGCTTGTTGTGTTGGTGTGTGCTGTAAATGTATTTGATTGTAAAATGTTTTGGTGCACCCCTTCCAGCCTTCCTTCAGTCCTCTAGAGGGGACTAAGATAACAGTGAATAATCTGCACCCCCGTGTCACTGAAGAGGACATAGTGGTAAGTGCCTCACGCTGCTCAGTTCTCAGCTGTTTTAGATTCTCTCTGTGGCTGTGTGTAAATTGCAGACCTGCTTATGATGCAGCCATGACTCATTCAGCACATTCAACTGACCTTTTTCTGTGTTTTTATGACCGTCCACAGGAGCTGTTCTGTGTGTGCGGTGCCTTGAAGCGAGCAAGGCTGTTGAAGGTGGGGGTTGCTGAAGTGGTGTTTGTGAGGAAGGAGGACGCTGTGAGCGCCTACAGGAAATACAACAACCGCTGTCTGGACGGTAAGGGCCTGCAGCAAGGGCAAAATACAGTTTTTTGGGCACCAGCCTCTGGTAATGATGCAGGTGATGACTAGTTCTCTGAAAAGGCATCGGTTTTACTTTCTTAAATCTTTATTTATTCTCTTCCCAAGGCCAGCCCATGAAGTGCAATCTTCACATGCAGGGGAATGTTATCACTTCAGACCAGCCCATTCTTTTGTAAGTCTCTGTCTGTCTCTGGTATATTCATATTTCTCACTGCTCCCTTAGTTGCGTTGCATGCAAATCAAATTGTAGTCCATGATGTGCATGTGTTATTTTCTTCCTTTCCAATTGCAAATTGCAATGCCGGTTGTCTTTCAGCATCACATAAAACTTTATGTGGATCGCCTTCTCTTTTTCTCTCTCACAGGAGGCTCAGTGACACTCCAGGCAGTGGCAGTGGAAGGAAAGAGGGTCTGCCCCTCTCTTTGTCTCGCCCCGGGGGTCGTCCGGCCTCCTCTCAGCCCACACCTGAGGTGGATCCCCAGACCATCCTCAAGGCCCTGTTCAAATCTACTGTCCAGAATCCCTCTACCACAGAGTCTCCCGGTTCACAGTGCACAGCCTTCCGCATCAAGATATAACTTTATAGTACATCCACACACATACATGTCACACAACACATAATACATCCACCCTCCTGTTTGACAGAGCCATCTACTGACATGCTCAAATAACATGATACTGTATTTGTATAAATTTGACAGATCATTGGCAGGTTGTAACATAAAAAGTTAACACACTGATGCCATCATCCAGATTTTTAGGAAAGAAAAACAAAATGTGTATCCGTGGCATATTACATAGATGCATGTGTCTCAGAACGGACCAATGTATGGCAGTCTGATTTGTTCATTTATTGTTTTAATCAAATTTGGTAGAGGGGATAAACAGGACAGTTGTGGATATTTTTTGTATCACATTGTTAACTTTTACAACTGTTCAAATAGTTCACATTGAACGCCATCCCTCTTGGAATCATGAGGTATTTTGTGCTAGTTGGAGTCGTCCCCCCCTTTGCAAACCGATGGTCTCACTGATCTGATGCACAAACCCATGAACCACAGGCAACAGTGATTCTTGTACTGGACATAATAAAAACTTTGATTTCAGCATAATGACTTGTACACATGCTCGTATTCCATTGTGGTATTTGGTTTGCCGCTCTTCTCCTTTTTGTGGCATTCAGGTTGTTCTGTGCTTATTTGTGGCTGTTATTTTACTGTTTTATTGGTTTTTGAGCAGCTTAGATAAGTCATGCTAATTTACTAAATTTATGTTCAACTGTCTATAAATGACTCTTTGTACAGCTGCCTCTTATGTCAGTCATAAAGATATGGTAGTGAGGTCAGGTCTCTGTACAAGTGAATTTCTGCCAATAAATATGTTGCTTTATAAAGATGTGTTCATATCAATGGTGTGTATATATAAATCATTGGTTCATATCCTTATTTCTCCTCGATATAATTTTTATCATTTTGCATCAGTGTCTTTTAGGTGTGTTTGCTAGACCAGGGGTTCTCAAACTTTTTGTGGCCGGAGATGCCTTTTGTGATAGCAAATTTATCAGGGACCCCCTCATAATATCCCGAGTGGCGCAGTGGTCTAAGGCGCAGTGCTAGCTGTGCCACTAGAGATCCTGGTTCGAATCCAGGCTCTGTCGTAGCCGGCCGCGACCGGGAGACCCATGGGGCGGCGAACAATTGGCCCAGGGTAGGGGAGGGAATGGACCGCAGGGATGTAGCTCAGTTGGTAGAGCATGGTGTTTGCAACGCCAGGGTTGTGCATTCGTTTCCCACGGGGGTCCAGTATGAAAAAGTAATGTATGCACTCACTAACTATAAGCGTCTGCTAAATGACTAAAAATGTAGATGTAAAATAAGCATTACACAACTCGAGTGTGATTAAAAATAGCCTACAAGGAGTTTTACAATGACGTCTGCAGTGCGTGGTTGGACGAACCAAGTCTAGGGCCCTGGGAAGGAGCATTTTAAAGACCCAGCTCTTGGCATCTGAGAGAAAAGTTTGCAGTTTTCAAGCTAATTTCCTGCAATTTTACACATTTTGTCATGGGGCAGACATGTTTTGTTGTTGCAGCTTTAAAGCTAATTTCCTGCAATTTTACACATTTTGCCATGAGGCAGAGAGCAAACTTTGCTGTTTTAAAGCTTAAATTACATGGCATTTATGTAAAAAAAAAAATATATATATATAATTAAGGGAAAATTATAATTAGGGAATAGCATTGAGTTTAAAAATTTATAATTGGTGGAGTACTGTGAATACCAATATCCCTGTGAGCCTCCCTAGGCCCATCTTGCCCAGGGTTAAGAACATAAATTGTAGATTAATAATATTACATTACACACTTTAAACTTATTTGACTGATCCCTTGGCCAAAAGTCGTATAATCTGTTAGTAATATTCATTTAAAAAAATGAAATGTTTATTAAGCATATTTAGACTACAACCCCCCAAAAAGGACTACAACCAATCCCTTTCTACTTCCTGCGTGAAAGGTTGCAAAGAAGATGGCGCCGTCCAAGACGAAACATGCCAACCAGGCTTGTGTTATTCCAGGAGGATTTACGGGTAACCATTGCTAAAATAACACACATTCAAAGGGAGAATGTGATAAATACAATAACTTTGTGTGATATAAAAGCATAATTTGGGGTTTGTTAGTTCGAACATGATCTTATTCTGTTTCAATTGCAACCACTAGCTTGCTTCTAGCTAACGTTAGTTATCTAACTCCATAATTTATGTCGAACACTTAAATTAAGCTTGCTTCAAGACAAAGCTTGAGGTTGTTGATGCCTTATGGTGTTTAACGATTAAAATAGGTCAACTTGATGTCTGTATTTTATTTGGACTGCATTCCCTAAGACTACGTCATGTAGCTAAAGCAAAGATTGTCTACTATTTTTTACTCAGGCTAAAGCCATTAGTGCCCTCTGGGTCTCCCTGGAGTTGTAGACAATGTATTAGGACCTGCCTAGAGAGGTGTTTGTCTGTTTTGACTGTGTATTTTGACTGAACCACTCTTTCTTCATCTCAGTGCTTTCTCTTCAGTTCAGTACTGACAGTGTTGCCCAGCACAAAATGTGTGTAAAAGAGCACCGGGTGCGAGCAGAGAAAACCACACAAAGACCCCTCGACAGAACACTGTTTGTCCTTAACATTCCCCCATATTGCTCTGAGGTATGTTTATGTTGTAAATACTGTCAATTACCAGCCAGTGTGCATGTGATTGTTGTACTATTAGCAAGTCTCTACAGAAAATGCAATATTTGTGCTACAGTTGTCTGTGGCCATATACAGTATAAAAGTACTAATCTCTTTCTGCTGTCTTTCAGGGTGTCATAAAGGAGCTCTTCTCTCAGTTTGGTCCTGTTCAGTCAGTGGAGCTGAGGGAGAAGCCAGGGTCCTTTGAGCATTCAGGACCCAAGCTGGCCAAGTATTTCACACCAGCACAAAAACAGGTTTGCCCTGAATCCGGACAACGAAGCTCTATGTTTAGATCAGATTGATTATTGAAGTGCCTATGGACACCTTTTCAGTATTGAGCCTTTTCTATTTCCATTCCCTACAGGGGTTCAGAGTGGGTTACATCGTGTTTCAGAAGGCCATCAGTATTACAGCAGTGAAGTCCCATCCCCATGACGTCCCATTGGTTGTTTCCACAGTGCAGCGACCTGTGTGGACAGGTCTACAGAGTGAGTGAGCTTTAAAGTGCTGTTCACGATGCATGGTCTTTCTTTTCTAAATATAGGCAGAATGTATGAAATTGGAAAGACATTTCACGCAGATTTAATAGTGTATTTAATATGCCTTTCACTTCTCTATATGTCTGTCTCGCTTTGTTTCTTTGTCTTTAGAATGGATTAATCAGTACAAGCAGTCATTTGCTCAGCCAGACAAACTACAGGAGGCAGTTGACACCTTCATGCAGGATTACGATAAGAGAAAAGAAGAGGTCAGATTCTCCCCCTGTATCTCAATCTCATCTCCAAAAATTTTTTCAAACATATTTTAGGTATTTCTGTTTTGTTAAGACTTTTTTTCCTTACCCAGGAGGCCGAGCGACAAAAGGAGGCTGCTGAGGAGCAGCTGGAGGATGAGGAGGGCTGGGTAAAAGTTACCAGGGGTAAAATTGGGACCAAGGCCCGCCCCCACAGTGAGGTATCCAATCAGAAAGCTCTGCAGAAGGAGAGCAGAAAGAGGAAGCGGAAGGAGCTCATGAACTTCTACACCTGGCAGCACAGAAACACACAGAAAGAACGTAAGTTGTTATGGTTCGTCATTTGATCACAACAGTAGAAGCACGTGGTGAAATCATTTCATTATTTAGTGCAAAAAGTTAACTTTTTTGTTCAGTCATTCTGGCTTCATTGCTAACTTTGTCCATCATATTACTCAGTCACTCTGCATTTTGAAAAGGGTTATCTTCTCTCTTTCAGACATCGCTGAACTGAGGAAAAAGTTTGAGGAGGACAAACAGCGAATTGCTTTGCTAAGAGCACAGAGGAAGTTCCGACCTTACTGAATCAATAATTTATTCTGAGATTCTCCCCACCTTCCTGTTTTTTAAACCACCCAACCAATTGATGTCAATAAATATCAATTTATTATATTTGTAAAGTTTTTTCTTGTTTGTCACTGATACAGTAATTTATGGAGTCTTAAGTTTGATTGGTATTTAATTCACAGTGTAAAGTGCATAGCGATACAGGTTGTAGTTGTGAATCAATACCTTAGGATCACTTCAGGTTTTACAAGCAGACGCCCTCGTATTCTGTTTTTTCTGGGGCAGTAGGATAGGAGGCTTTAATATCTGATTTTCTTTTCAGGTGCAGCGCTATGTACTCAGTTTACGTGACCTTTACCAAAGTGTCAAAGGCAAACTGGCTGCTTAATACATGTGAAGTACATTTGTGATGCATTGGAATGCACATGGCCAGTGAAGGTATTTAATGGCAGTTGAAATAAATACCATTTGTAATTAAGTGTGCATAGAAGTGCTTTATTGGGCTTGTTCAACCTGTAGGCCAGTCTCCTTGTTTCTGGTTTCCATTTCCACTTCATTTTCTTCCACTTGACAACTCATCATTGACCACGAAGAGAACAGGAGGAAGAACAGGATGGAGGTACAGACAACTGAAATGCTGAGGGCCAGCAAGAGAAAATGTTAGTGTCATTAGTTTCATTCCACTCATACAGTAGCTGTGGGGTAAGTTGAGCCACCCTTGTTTCTAAGAAACCATACCCAAAATGTATAATTTGACCAAATATTTAGGAAGAGGTAATTTCATGGAGTCTGAAGGAAGAAACCACATAGAAAAAGAGGTAAGCAAGTTAGGTCCAAAAAACAGTCAAATTAGTGTTAAGAGGTTTCATGACGATTGTATCTAAACCAAAGTAGAGTCTATAAGCTTCAATATGTGGTCCTAAACCTAGCATGGAAGTGCATCCTTGTAGCTGTGTGGGTTAATATAGTACAAATATTTACCTTGGTAAGTTGAGCCAATGGCAAGTGAGCAAATTTAAGAGTTTTTTCCCCAGGCATAATGCAAGGCATTATTGCTGGTATATGTTAAAAGTACAATGTTTGTTAGGTGTTAAGCCTGTGTTGAAATATGCTTACATTGATTAAAAGACAAAAAAGCGATTGTGATTGTGTTTAATTGTGTTTGGGAAATAAAGAGACATGCTTTTAAAAAGAGTGGTAATATTTCATTCAGTACAGAAATGTGTAGGCGGGTCAAGCTGTTTTCAAAACTGTAATGCTTAAATGAATTCTGATTATTTCCAGGGATACACAACATCCTGAAATATGTAGATATCTTTGTTAGAAAGAATACTACATTTCCCTTGAAAGAGTGATGTTGAATGTAAAAAATGGCTCAACTTACCCCACTCTCCCCTATTTGGAATGTGCTTACCTATATTCAGATGATCACTAGGATTCCCTTCCTGTTCCTGTCCAGAACTGTTCTGACCCAACAGCACAGGACCAAATGAGACTAACTGGGAGACTCGATCTGACCCAGACTCCCTCCTCGCCCTCTCACCATCAGGTGCTGGATGGAGGAGGATGAGACAGCATGACTATTGGATGAAATGACCCAATTCACAGTGTTAAGGTGAATGTAAAACATAGGGACCTGAAACACTCACAGGTGATGGAGCAGCGTTGTTTACACTCTGCCTCCTCTGTGCAGATTTCTACCCAGCAGTAGAAGTACACCTGAGAGACAAGATTCAGTAGATCAGTGTTTCCCAACCCTGGTCCTCCAGTACCCCCAACAGTACACATTTCCGTTGTAGCCCTGGACAAACACCTCATTCAACTCATTGAGGGCTTGATGATTAGTTGAAAAGTTGAATCAGGTGTGCTTGTCCAGGGTTACAATAAAAAAGTGTACTGTTGGGGGTACTCGAGGACCAGGGTTGGGAAACACTGCAGTAGATGGAGCACCAAGAGATCTTTGTTTTTGAGAATTTATACTGAACAAAAAACGCAACAATTTCAATGATTCTACTGAGTTACAGTTCATATAAGGAAATCAGTCAATTGAAATAAATAAATTAGGCCCTAATCTATGGATTTCATATGACTGGGCAGGGGCGCAGCCATAGGCCCACCCACTGGGGAGCCAGGCCCAGCCAATCAGAATGAGTTTTTCCCCACAAAAGAGCTTTATTACAGACATAAATACTCCTCAGTTTCATCAGCTGTCCGGGTGGCTGGTCTCAGACAATCCCGCAGGCGAAGAAGCCGGATGTGGCGATCCTGGGCTAGCGTGGTTACACGTGGTCTGCGTTTGTGAGACTGGTTGGACGTACTGCCAAATTCTCTAAAACGACGTTGGAGGAATTACAAGGTACACGTGTGTAATGATTATGCGGTTTAATCAGTTTCTTGATAATGCCACACCTTTCAGGTGGATGGATTATCTTGGCAAAGGACAAATGCTCACTAACAGGGATGTAAACTAATTTGTGCACAAAATTTGGGAGAAATAAGCCATTTGTGCATATGGAAAATTTCTGCGATCTTTTATTTCAGCTGATGAAACGTGGGACCAACACTTTACATGTTGTGTTTATATTTTTGTTCAGTATATATTAGCAAAATCTTCCCATTCTTCAGATAAATAGGATAGACCTTACCTCCTCCACACTGGGATTGCCAGTCTCAGGGTCCAAGAAGGAAAAGGTCTTGACATTAAACCTCCTGACCTGGGAGTGAGAGGTTGTCTTCCCCTGACTGTCCACTGGGACGGAGCTCCTCATGTTGTCCAGAGGGTTAGGACAGCTGTCAGGGAGAAGGGGGAGTTAGACTACTAAACCAATGCATATTCACCAGTGATTAATCTTGAGTCAGTATAGGAAAACATTTGGCTCCCTCCCTCTCACCCATCATAGAGCAGTGTCCATACGGAGTGTCTGGAGGCAGGGTAGGCAAAGCAGTCACGCACACGCAGGGAGAGACTGGGGTCAGGGGAGGGTGGAGCGATTGACACCTCCACATACACAGGCTTACGCAGAAAGAGGGTCAAGGGCAGCTGTTCCCCGGGGAAGAAAGAGGTGAACGACTCATCTGGAAAAAGGATAAGGGCCAGGATGATGGAGATCTACCAGTGTAACATGTGTGAAGTGACAACTCTTGATGCCATATACTTGCAGGGTTTGGATTTGGCATCCCTTGCTTGGTCTGTGGAAAACCATATTGTTTTACTATAGTACCTGTGGCTATTCTCATCTGCACTCGGACAGTCCCCAGTGCAGTCACAGGTGGAGGGTTAGTTGGGTTTAAGGACCGCAGATCAGTGTGGAGGAGAGCTGACCCATCATATTGACACCGGACCTGCAGACTTCAAACCAAGTCTCATTCAAAACATTTACTCCATAATAGTTTCAAGCAATTAGGCTCTGGCTAAAGCCACGATATGGTAATGTAGTCCAAATTGTAGTGCACAGTCCACAGGTAGGAAGAGAAATAAGCAGCTACCTGAAGGGAGAACGTTTGCCTGCAATCTTTGGATGCAGTTCCTCTACCTCCACCTCATAGATTACAACATCCCCATTCACCTGTAAATACAAGAGGGGGAACGAGAGGGGAAGGAGGTATTTTAGCATACCTAAGAGTATTCAACACTACAAGAAAAAAGCAGCATTATACCAGAGGCATTCAGGACAGAAGTATACTGCTGTAGATTAGGGCAGAAGGTAATAGACCTACTGACTCACCATCATCTTTGTGCCACACTCCATCACCCCGATTTTAAAGACAGCTGTATCTGCAGAGGTAGCTACAGGAGAACACTGCGGCTGATCCTTGACGACAAGGTTGCTGGGGTTGAGTGGGGGGTCAGTGTCCGTCGCCTTCACAGAGAACACAAAATGGCCATCCAGAGAACAGGCTGAGAGCAAGAGGAGGAGACAGAAACTTCATGATGTAACGAACAAAGGAGTTATTCTTGAAATGTAATCTCTGATCTCACTATGCGCCAATCTCACCATGACAGTCACTATCCCTCTGCTGATACTTTCTTTCAGAAGCATGTTCTACATTGTACAAAATACACACACAAGAATTTATATTACTGTTCATTCTGTAATAGCATGTTGAGTCATGATCATCATAGCAGCATCCCAGTTTCAGACAGCCATCACTGGAGACATCCTGGGGCCCACAGTCCACATGCAAAGCTCTAAGGATGCTGCATTTTCCTGATCGTGCTGAAGGAAAGTAAGTTGGCAGAATGGCTTTTACAGAGGTGGTACTAAATGGCAGTGTAATCACTATTTTTGTGATAAATCATCTAAAAATTCCCTCCCTATGAAATGATATGAACTCACAGGTGCGATTGATGATGGGTTTCTGGGCCATCTTCTTGAGCAGGGGGCAGCTAATATTGACCCTGTACCATTGATCCCCTGCAACCAGCTGGACTCCCAAAGATACAAGGACTCTGTCACCCTAAAGATAAAACAAAGTGGTTTTGATATGGCAATCAGTAGGTTTACACACAGACCAAGACCTCGCAATGCAATGAACATCAAAAATAGAGATTACCATACCTCAACCTGTGTGTAGCAACTGTCATATCGACTCTGGAAAGAAAGGGTACCATTCTTCTCTCCCCTTCTCACTCCACAATGTTCTTTGGCTTTTGGCACAGGCACACTGACTCCAGACCTGTCTGGGAAAAGTGAGATCAACCAGCATACCAGACATTCTAATTAAACAAACGAAATCTACAGATATAGAGGGCTAAAATATAATGGTTATTTACCTTTTACACGCATGTTGTGAAGAACCGCTTGACCGAAAACTGCGCGTATTCGTCGGATGGTGCAGGTGACTCGAGGCAGGGCATCTTGTGCTCTAGTTTGAGCGGTTTCATGCCGCACGAGAGTTGAAAGGCATCGGTAATGTGGCGCAAAGAATGCAAACATTACACAAATCATAAGTAGCATTGTTAGGCTACAGGTTGTGCTGTGTTTTAATTAGTTAAATGATTCTCGATTGAACAATATAATTACGTGACAAAAGTAATATTTTGCGCGGTATTTGAGTGGTTTCTTTGTGTAGTGAAGAAACATGTCTTTCAAGACCAGTAATTGGAGTAATCAGAGGACCTTGAGGCAGGACATTGCGCGCGAGGCTTTATTAGCCTACCGCTGATTAAGTCAATTATCACAGTCAGACTGAATGTAGGCCTGCAGTACGTGATAAATTCGTGACTGAATGAACGATAGCATTTTGTTTTTTGAATTAATTTTATTTATTATTAAGGGATCCTTCCAACTTTTATCCCATTGTTTTCTTTAATAGCCTACTGGGGGGAAAAGTTTTGCTATATTGTGTACTTTTATTATAGTTCTATATTGAGTCCAAAGGAAAAGGGGAAAACACCCTTGATTGATAAGGTCAAAGTAAAGTGAAGGAAATGTATGGCACATTTGCACTGTGCATACAATACTAGGCAATTAATTTCCCCCACAGGGTCAGTAAATGCAATTATTACATAATAACCTCAATCCCCTTCTCTTCTCTCACGGTCACCATGCTCATTGCTCAGTCCCTATGGCAATGTTTGTACCGATTGCTTGTACCCACCCATTCTATGCTATGAGGCTTTTTAACATGAGCACTTCGTTTTTTATATTCATTGATGATGTGCTGCTTTTCGTGTCTGTGTATCCTTTGTTGTGTTTTATTGTGCATGTATTGTTGTTGTTATGTATTGGCTGGTTCAATCAAACGTGCCCTTTGGGGGATTAATAAAGAACTATCTTATCTTATTACATAACCTGGCCCATCTTCTTGCTACATGTTGGAAGCCAAAAAATTAAATAGAACATTGTATCTTTATGCTGGAAACACTGTGTGCAGTAGGCCTACTGTCACTGTCGCCACGCACGGCATTGTCCCCCATGTAATGCAGACACAGAACAGGATGCAAATAGGTATATAGGAAAACATTTGGAAGCATAATTTTTGCATGTAGCAATTTGAGGAAAATCATAGAGCAAGATGACTTGTAAATTCATGTGATCTACTTAATTGCAGCTAACTTAAATGTTGTCCCACTGAGACAGGCCTCATGTCAGTTAAAAGTGAAATGCACATGATATACACATAGTTAAACTAAGTGATGATTTAAAAAAAAATGCATTTTACATTTAGCTTATTTTCCTGTATTCCATCCTTTTTTTGGACCATACCTAAGTCATGACTCATGAGTCATAAACTGATTACACAATTGGCCTAATAACTTTTCCTTTACACGTGTTGGTTGTACAAGCAGAATTATATAACCCAATTTGGAATATATAGGCACCCATTAGATGTTCTAGTGTTTGACTACGACTGAGAGGCAAACTCAAAGCACATTCTCTAAAAACATAAAATAATGGACGTGTAAGCAAAAATCAATCATACATGAAAAGCATTTACTCTCCTTAGGCCTACTCAGCTCTCTTCACAACCACAATGCTGTATTATTTCATCCAAACCAATCTCAAATATCCCACCTCACCTCAACACACGACAATTATATGACAATCTCAATTCAAAGGCTTGTTGACAATATGGGAAACAATGTTGCCTAACAGAACATTGCAGTCACAGCACATGAAACAGCTGATCATGTGACGTAACACTTTGACGTTTGGGGCATTCCTCTCATTTCCAGTGTGTAGCTGTACCTGACGAAGACGAGTACACTAGACTATCTGAACATGGCTTTAAATCGAAATCATTCTCAAAACGGAGGACTTTTGATCAACAACGGCGAGAGGTTAGTGAATCATTAATCGCCACGAAGCTCACTTTCGGTAGCTTAGTTAGCTAACTCGCAAGTCAACGTTAGCTGTTATGCTAGTGGCTAGCTTGCCAGCCAGTTCCGTACTTTGTGTTAATTATATCTAGCCAATGTCAGTTAACAACTTTTTTCAATCAGCAAGCGCTATTTTATAGTGCTAACGTCAGTAGCTAGCTATCAGTCAGCAACGTCGTTGTTGGCCTTGCTGGCAGGAAAAGCTAGCTAAGTTCGAAGTCAGTCATCATTACTCCTTTGAAACGTATTAAAGCTAACGTTAGCTAGATACATTTGCTTACTTTAGTTAAACTAACGTTAGATGTAAAAATAATATACTCTGGTTATAAGTGTTAGCTAGCTAGCTAAATAAGTTTGTTTTCCAGGGAGGTAGACTGACAGCAAAGTCAACAAAGAGAGCGAGCCGCCCCTACTAACGCACCACCTGAGTCTAAAGTAAACGTTTTGACAGAGGTTTAGGAAATTGATAAAGTAACAGGAACTTAGGAAATATACGAAGAAAGACAACTTTTCATAATAGTTAGAATTGACACATTCTGGAAGTGTCAGATTTAACCACCAGCCAGTATGTGAAATGCCAATAGTAGGCCTATGTGAAATTATGTAGACCATACAGAATCCCACTATGTCCCGGTCTCGGTTCTGCTAGGATTCTACTACAGTATTTGTCCTATGGAGGACCTATCATACATACTATACATATTTGTCTGTGAATTCACTAGACATGCCTAAACTGAACATGTATCCACCACTAGTGTGTTAAGGGAATGCAAGAATGTGGAGCTGTCCTTCAGCGATGTCACCAGCAAGACAGACCTGCTGAGGGGGACCAAGAAGGGGACTGTTTACCTCACTCCATACAGGGTATGTTTATTATCTGACCATGCTGGTCCTGTGTGCCTAATAGGATGTTGGAAGACAATCATTCTTCTTCGATGAGGTTTAACGGCGGTTGGCATCCAATAAATGTTGCATTACCACCACCTACTAAACTGGAGTCCCTTATACTTTGCTTAAAAAAATAAAAGGATTTCAACAAACACCCTACCATCTAACCCTGCACTCACTAAAAACCCACCACCCTACTCCACTATTTAAATCAATTTAGTCCTACCTCAAGCCAACAGCCTGAAAAGATGGGAAACCAGCACTTAACACACCCTGTAACTCTTCTGACGTCAAGTCTTGTACAACCAAATACCTCTCTGCAGCTGCCACCACAACCTCAATTTTCTGTGACTTACATTCCATCCCTGCAGTACAGTTGATAACCATTGCTATAAATGCTAAAAATCCAATCTTACTGAAACATATATAACGTGTTGGCCTATCCCTCTGTACTGGTACAGTTCTACTACTCACACCACTCCTCTCAGGATCCCGCCCCCTTGACCCATCTTCCTCTACTTTCTTAACTGCCTCAGCATACGACAACTTCTGCACTACTCTAACCCTGGAAACATCAACCTGCCTCTTTCGCGCTGGACATTTCTGATCCCCAGCCCCATGGGTAGCCCTAGAATTAACACATACCACTACTTTCCCCAGTTTTACACATTCATTTGTCTCACTCCTACACACTGCTGCCACATGCCCATAAGTTTGACACCTGTAACAGCATAATGTATTCGGCACAAAAGCTTGTACGGGCTAACTTGTATATCCTAACATCACTTTGTTGGGCAAAGACTCAACATCAAAACTCAAAAGGGGGCCTACCGAGTGGCGCAGCGGTCTAAGGCACTGCATCGCAGTGCTAGAGGCGTCACTAGACCCGGGTTCGTTCCCGGGCTGTGTCGCAGCCAGCCGCAACCGGGAGACAAATGAGGCGGCGCACAATTGGCCTAGCGTCGTCCGGGTTAGGGGAAGGTTTGGCTAGCCGGGATGCAGTGTCCCATCGCGCTCTAGCGAACCCATGTGGCGGGCCGGGCGCCTGCAAACTGACTTCAGTCGCCAGCTGGACGGTGTTTCCTCCGACACATTGGTACGGCTGGCTTCCGGGTTAAGCGAGCAGTGTGTCAAGAAGCAGTGCCGCTTGGCAGGGTCGTGTTTCGGAGGACGCATGGCTCTCGACCTTCACCTCTCCCATGTCCGTAGGGGAGTTGCAGTGATGGGACAAGACTGTAACTACCAATTGGATATCACGAAAAAGGACAGACATCGACTCTTCTGTTTCACAACTCCGGCTACCCTGTCTGCGTCGCATCAAACGACGAGCATCACAAACTGGAAGACATTCCATTGTTCTGCGTCCCATCTCATTGCCCTCTTTCTCTCTGTTTGTCCTCATTTCAGTTGGTGTTTGTGTCCAGTAATGCCAAGGACAGCCTGGGGTCTGTGATGTTCCCGTACTACCTGATGAAGGGCTGCAGCATCGAGCAACCAGTCTTCGCCGCCAATTACATCAGGGGCACAGTTTCTGCTGAGGCTGGGGGTAGGCAGCAATTTGTTGTCCTCCTGTAGCATTCAACACCATAATGAGGAAAGAACTATAGAGCATGCAAAGTGTGTATGGCCTCCAGCCCCAGGTATGGCCTGATGTATCCTAGGAATACATGCAGAAGTGAATCAGTGACGCAAGGGTGATTTGCCAAGGCCAGATATTTTCAGAGGCTGACATCAGTCTGTAAACCACAATCTCATTTTACTTTACAATGTCTGTCTGTGTCAAAGTTTTTAGCAGCATTAGTAGAAATTGAAATGTGACATCTCCAAGGCGCTGATTATAATTCAATATCAGACGTGCAATTTAATGCAAAGACAAGTACACAGTGCTCATCAATGTATTAACAGTCCTTTCTTTGGTTTCAGGAGGCTGGGAAGGACAGGCTAGCTTCAAGATGTCTTTTTCCAATGGGGGAGCCATCGAGTTAGGTCAGCACCTCTTCAAACTGGCAACAAATGGTAAGTCATTTTATGACTGTCATGTTTATCAGTACAGTGCCTATTTGTCATTCAACATATCTGCTTTACTCAGTTTATATCGTACAATTAAATAATTCATTAAACATGTACATCATGAAAGCACTTCCTTGTAATGCAGTCAAAGTTTGTTATATTTGTTAGGCTACATATTTGTTATACATGTTACTCTTTTTGTCAAGTCCAGTCTGTATTTAGGTTTAACCCTCAACTTTGTTTTAGCATCTCGTGCCCCTCCTGCTCAAAACGGAGGTGCCTCCTATGGCTACCCCTCACCTGGAGTGATGAATGGCTACGGCCCGCCACCTGTTCCTCAGAACTACCCGTATGCACCCCCACCCCAGCAGAATGGTTTCTACCAGGCTCCCCCAGGCGACATGGGCTATCCCTACCCTATGGCAGCCGCAGGTCTGTTATTAAATAACTTTATCATCACTATAAAACTGTATGTTATGCAGGCTTGGGTCATAATAATTGAGAATCAAAGCTGTGATGCTAGCAGATTGACATTTACATCAGAGATTGCATAGCACTTAAATACGGAAATATTTTGGATAATGCCTCCATTCTTATGAGTGTATGAATTTGATTGATTGGTGTCAATATTTATAACTACTTGAAGTAAAGATGTGTCCCCAAGGCTGTTATGAGTATTTTGGGTATTCTCTCTCGTGTTGCAGGAATGTACCCATCTGCCCCTGCCTACATGGCCCCACCTCCCCCGTATCCTGGGCCCCCCCAAAACTGGGCTGCTCCCCCTGCAGGTCTGTCTCTCTGTCTCTTTCTGTATGTCTGCATCGCTGCATCTGTCTGATCCCATCAGTCTGCTCCAATATGAAGCACATGACGCATGGCACTGAGAAAGGAGTGCTGATGTTGTAACCGGTACACATCATATTAAAAAGGAGAAACAAACAAAATACCTCTCACCCCTAGTCTCCCTTACCCCATGAAACAACCCAGTTGGCCTAAACTCAGTACGCCTCATTTAGATGTCAGTTGTGTGTCTATTTGTGGGTTTTGGAGAATTGAAAGAGAGTTGGAAGTGTGCCTCTGTGAATCATTCTGTCCGGAAGATGTCTTGTCACGAGTGTCCTGCTGCAATATACTGGGCTGAGTGTGCTCCATTGTCTCTCCTACTCCACAGTTACAGTAGCATGTGCTTCTGTATCAGTTACTGTACATGTGCATTATTCGCCCCTCATTTCTCTCTCCCTGATCCTCAGGTAATGCCAAGGCAGCAGAGGCAGCAGGCAGCGCCTATTACAACCCCAACAACCCCCACAATGTCTACATGCCCATGGTAAGGGACCTGTTATTCTCTCCATGTCCATTCAGTGCATGCACTTTATGCTGTGTTGATGTTTTCAGTTCAGTTTTTTAAAGATATTCTATCACTGTTTATTCTCACATAGGAACAGCCTCCTCCCTATGCGCCTTCTGCCCCTCCTGCTCCTTACCCAGGCTATCCAGAGAAGAAGAACAACTAAAGCTCAATAACCATCATGTTGAGTACCTCCCTTCCCCTAATAAACACAACAGCAAATGATTAAGGGGATGATAATTATTAGACTGTAAAGGAAAGTATAAAGTACTATATTGACAAAAAGGCAAGATTATCTTTCTGGCAATTCACACAAGTAATTTTGGGGCACAACAATGTTGGTACATTTTCTTATAGACATTTTCAAATGATGAATGTTTCCTTTTACTCATGAGTAAAGCTTTATTTAACCCCCCTCCCACTTAGTTTATTTTATATGGTAACTTGCCAACTAAATGGTTATTCACTTAACAGATAAGTATTCAATCTTTCCAGTTATCATGGTGGGCTCTCTCCTTCAGTCTGTTAGAATGTGGAACTGTCTGGTTCTTGGGAAAGGGTATCTAACTGCCCTGTTGAGTTGAACTACATGTGATGGGCAGTACGGGGAATGTATAGGCATGAAATATTTACAGAATTTTTTTAATCCAGAGGTTTGTTACCTAAATACATTTTATAAATTTTCGATTAAAATTATGACGCGTATTAACAAAACGACAATTTCTATTCCTACTAGTATTGTAAAGTATTTTTACATTCACGTTCAGAGTAAGTGTTTCCATTGTGTTTGTGCGTGGTTTAAGTTTGTTCCAGAGAGCCTTGAATGAAGGCTGAAGGTCCCAGTGCTCAATGCACACCATACCTTTCTAGATTATTTCTGGCTTTTTATTGAAGGAAGTGCATGTTGTTTGAATATGGGAATTGGATGGAGTACTGACATGTACCGCTACATATGTGAGATTATTGGTAATGTGCGATGTTCCTAGATCTCGCAAATAACTTGTATTGAACCTAGAGATGATGTTGTAACTGGTCACATGAATAACCCATGCCCCAGTCAAACCCTGTATATTGTATTGATGAATGCAAAGCCCGGCTTAAACCAAAACCCTACTCTCTGTGTAATTATACAAGTGTGGGGTTACTAGGCCATGTATTTATTTAGCCGCTAGCCCGCTACACAGTGCTTTCTTGCAGTTGTGACGAATTAACCTGTGAAAACCACTCATTTATTCCTGATTAAACTGGGTTGTAGTGACTTTTCTCAGAGTGCATAGAGAGGACATTTTGTACTAGTTTTAGGTTATAGGTTTGGTTGGTTATAATTATTATCTGCTTAAATTCATCAAATGTCTGTGAAATATCTTGTTTGTAAACCCCATTCCTTATTTGGAGTTCTTCATATTGATTCAAAATCTAATAATGAATAATAAATAGATGTTTATGTAAAACCTATCCAAAACAGTGGTGTACCAGTATTTTAAGCATTATCTTTTGTTTTTATAGAAATAAAAAATAAAAATAAACGTCAGTATTTCACAAAAAATCTTATTAGTAATATCTTGAATAACATATTTATTATGATATGAAACACTATCAAACCATGACGATATCGTCAATCCATATTTTCACAGAAAATCACACACTATACAGAGGTATTTTAAAATAGTTTCAAGAATCATAATAAATAACATTACAATTCCAAGACTCCAAATACAAGCACACCAAAACATTCACTACACACAACTGCTGCTATCTTGAAAATGTTAATGTGATCATCACAGGATTAGACATCTTGAAAGATAACATTTAAGGAATGACTAATACATTTCTCCTTCATATCCTCCCCACCAACTAATTCATACTAAGGAAAATATTTGACTATCACTACTCTATGGCTCAATTCCTAGTTTATTTCCAATTCCCTCCCTTGGGAAAAGGGTGCTTTTTAAAACTTAATGACTTATTGAATACTTAACTGTAATTTTGTTTTTATGGTGTGTGAAGTGAAGCATAATTTAATTAGACTGCTGAATAGTGATATGTGTACAGCCTGATTTAATGTGCTTTTCTTCCAAGCACTATGAAGCATATTTTAAGGGGAGTGTCAACCCATGGGTGGACAAAATTCGAAGTTGAGTTAATGATGTACCATCTGTACCACCTATAACACACAGCAGTACTTTGTGGTTAGTGGCTAATACTACTAGGCCACTTAATATCCAGTTACTGGTAATGGTACTGTACTATTGCACTACTTTGGGCCAGTAACTATATAGCCCGCTGCCCATCCCTCCCCCTTATGACCTTTCAATAGTCTAATAGTCTTCTTTGCATCACCTCTCCTTCATTTGCACTGATTTGAAAACAAATCCCATTATTTTCACACATCCTATTGTTTTGGGATGAAGATCAAGATGTGGAGTAATCAGTGAAGACTAAGGAGAGGAGAGGATGAGAGGAAGCGACTATAGACTATTATTAAGAGTCGGTCTTAATAATGCTGCCCTTATGGCTCCTCCTGTAGGAACCACACCTCGTTGCGTCGGCCGTAGGGTTTCATTGGCGGGTTGTAGGTGCAGCAGAAGTACTGTTTCCTCTGAAAGGGGGCAGTCTCACCCAGAGTTTTGGTTAGGCGAGAGGCCTCTGCCCGATACTCAGTCTCCCCTGCAAAGCCTCCAAACTGCCTGTGAAAAGAAAGGTGAGGTGGGTTGGAAAGGAGAGAGAAAGAGGATATGTAATCAAATAAACTATTAATATTAAAGTACATTTTTTATCGTAAAGAATTAAAGAACAAAGTGAGGTTTTTTTTATGCCCATGAATTCTAAAATGTGCATAAGAAATGATGGCATGTGCTTGTCAGGGAAGGTGAAGACTGCATGGAGACACCCACAGTGAGTAGACAGTCATGCCGGGTCGATCCTCGATCCTGATGGCACTGTCGGTGGGCACAGGGGGACTGACTTGGTAGTTGGTGGGAATCCTGAGGCTAACCACCAAACGGCGTGACATCACACCATCGTCCCTGGGATACACTGTGATGATAACCGGTGCTGTCGTCCCCATTGCCTCCCCTTGGAAAGAAAAGATACAGAGGACAGATAGATGGGATGGCAAACAACTTACTGCAACAGTGTTATTATGTGTACCGGAGCGCCAAGTCTAGGTCCAAAAGGCTTCTTAACAGCTTCTACCCCCAAGCCATAAGACTCCTGAACAGCTAATCATGTCTACCCGGACTATTTGCATTGCCCCCCCCCCCCTCCACCCCAACCCCCTATTTTATGCTGCTGCTACTCTGTTTATTATTTATGCATCGTCACTTTAACTTTACCCACATGTATTTTTTACTTATCTATTTTTTACTTAACACTTTTATTTTTATTAAAACTGCATTATTGGTTTAAGGGCTTGTAAGTAAGTATTCGGCGCATGTGGCAAATAAAATTTGATTTGATTTGATCGAGTTCATTGCCTCTTAGGCCCAGTTTCAAACTGACCTCTAGCATCAAACAGAGTAGACACTTCTTCAGTCACCCTTGAAGATCTGAAACACTATCTAACCCTCTGGTAGACTAGGAAGAGTTTTCAACATATTGCTTGCTTACATCAATGCAATACTTTCAGATATGCACATTACATCTGTGGCTCGATTCAATCCGTAGCACTGAAGAGCTGTGCTACAGCGCGATATAAATTTAAAGGCAATGTTTCTGCATTCGTGGAGACTGCAGTCATAGTAAACGCTGCATATGTCGGCTCAATTGGAAATTACCTTCAAATTTTAATTGCTCTATAGTACTGAACATCAGCAATACAGATTGAGCCGAGCCCCTAGACCTTTCTGAGTTTAGGGCCACTGACTGACAGGACAGGCCCTGCTCTCTGATTGGCTCACCTTGGTCGTTGCTACCCCCAATGTACACGAGCAGCTTCCTCACTAGCTCCCCCGTCACCTGGTCAAAGGTCCGCCCCTCTGAGCTCACTGAGGCATACTTTGCACCATCGTACCTCCGCACTTCGTAGCTGACCCCCTCCTGGGGAAGAGAGCGGGAGGCCAAATGTGATTCACCAATGAAACACATGTTGACAAACTGTTCAGAGGGAAGGAAGCCACACACTACTGGGGGGTTAGAGGGAGGTGGGGCTGTGATTGGCGATATGCAATGGGCAGAATCTGTGCTCACTGATGCCGGTGAAACACTTGGAGTGGAAACGAACAGAGGACAGCCAAATGCCCCCAGAAAAGGATCTAGATCAAACATATTACGCTGATTTGATTCCAGTTCTTTCCTGCCCTGCTCTCAGGGCCCCATAGGGTTTAATGAAGTCTAAAGAGAATAATGGGACAGAGATGCCTGTTCTTACATAAGGCCAGACCATAGGGGCACACACTCACTGACTTGCTGCCTGTTCTTATACATGCTATGATGTACTTGACCTAAGAGGTAATGCTGAGAAACATCAACCATTAAATAACAGAGGAATGTTACGTTTCACACACTCCATAACCAGTCTTGAGTAAATGTGTTCCACTGAAAGGGACCTCAATGGTCACATTATTTAAAGCAAATAATTTTGTAATTAGACCCATTCCACTAAGTTATCCCTTGTGTTGTAAATCACTCACGCGGAATAAGAATGCCTGCTACATGACTACATATAATGCAATGGAAATACTAGATTATGCACTGAAAACTCTATTTAAAACTAGGGCTGTAAATACATAGAAGGCAACAATTAGGGCTGTGATGATACCAGTATAGCAATACTTTTTTCATGGCAAAAATGAAAACAAAGCTGACTAAACTCTTTGGTTCTTTAAAAACCTGCTGTATTTGAAATATTGTGTGCTATAGTTTGGAAAATAAATAAATGTGACTGGATGACAACATAATGATGTTTGTTTCCAACATTAGGGCTGTTTTCATAAAGAAGTTATATCTGCTTCGTGTTTTGTTGCCTTGCCTTGCCTCGTCACTAACAAGTATCACTGAACAGGCATCTCTGGTATCGTCTTGGCCCTAGCAACAATATTGATATGGGATTAATTGTATTGATTGAACTGTATTGCTGATTAACTAAAAGGTTTGTAGCTAAAAGGTTTATTTTACTCCAGCTGGTCTAATTGGGATGTCAAGAACTTGTTCATAGTGCTTCTGACAGTGAGCTCCAAAAGTATTGGGACAGTGACACATTTTGTTTTGTTTTGGCATTGTACTCCAGCACTTTGGATTTGAAATGATACAATGACTATGAGGTTAAAGTGCAGACTGTCAGCTTGAGGGTATTTTCATCCTTATTGGGTGAACCATTTAGATACAGCACTTTTTGTACATAGTAGGCCGATTTTAGGGGACCAAAAGTATTTGGACAAATTCACTTATATGTGTATTAAAGTAGTAAAAAGTTAAGTATTTGGTCCCATATTCATAGCACGCAATGACTACATTAAGCTTGTGACTACAAATTTGTTAGATGCATTTGTTGTTTGTTTTGGGTGTGTTTTAGATTATTTTGTGCCCAATAGAAATGAATGGTAAATAATGTATTGTGTCATTTTGGAGTCACTTTTATTGTAAATAAGCATAGAATATGTTTCTACACTTCTACATTAATGTGGATGCTACCATGATTACGGATCATCCTGAATGAATCGTGAATAATGATGAGCGAGAAAATGTACAAGTGTTTAGAAACATTATATTCTTATTTACAATAAAAGTATCCTAAAATGGGGGGACTATGTACAAAAAGTGCTGTAATTTCTAAACGGTTCACCCGATATGGATGAAAATACCCTCAAATTAAAGCACACAGTCTGCACTTTACCCTAATAGTCATTCTATCATTTCAAATCCAAAGTGCTGGAGTACAGAGCCAAAACTACAACAACATTCACTGTCCCAATACTTTTGGAGCTCACTGTGTATGTCACTGTGACCAACATTAACAATACATGTAGATGACATGTTCCAACAGCAATACTTGAACACTTTGTTCCTGAGTTCAGTCTAAAGGTGCAATTAGTGTGTGTACTTAGCTGGAATCCTGCAACCTCTGTATATAATTACTCTGTGTCTCAGCTGGGTAGACGTGGGCCATAATTATTGTGGATGTGCGAATATTAGCGATTCATTTCATATTCAACCCACTCTCTTTCTTTCTCTAACTTTTAAACAAATGGTTTTAATTAGTTTGAATGTCACCACTCAATGTCATGTGAAGTTTGTAAACCTCTTACAGAGAGAAGTTGACATTTGAATCTTACATGACAACTATGGCTTCTATAACCATTCAGTTGGCTTGGAGTATGAGCATGTCTTGTGTATCAAGAAATGGATAATGTGCTGTCATTATATAATAAGCATATTGTGCTGTCAACTTGTCCATCTAATTAAATGTCTTGTCATTACTAAACAATGCATTGTGCCAAGTAAGATAATTTCAGAGGAATTAAAACATTGCGTAATATCAATACTGTGGAGAACAAAAAACATGAAATTAAAAAGAATAGCGTTTAAAGTTAGAATCCTTAGTTGAAACAATAACACCCGCCTCTGTTTTAGTAAAAAGCTAAGGGATGGGCCTGGAGAAATGTAACCTCTCTCAAAGTCATAGACAGAGAGATGGATGCAAGGACTGACCATCCATGATTTCAAAATTATAGCTTTAACCATGTTTTTAGGCTATACAGTGTTTGTTTACATTTATGTCGTTTACAAACATTGGGGTGATGGGGTACGACAGTTGAGGGTACGACAGTTGAACTAAGCTCATGAGGCATTTACGTTATATTCTTCAAGAATCAATGGGTATATATCATTCATTTATAAGTCAAAAAATTGATATAGCAACTAAGGATTGCAGCTTTAAAGCCACCTCCTTCCATTTGTAAGCCCTGAAATATGAGGGCCCACCAAGGTGTGTGTGTGTGTGTGTGTGTGTGTGTGTGTGTGTGTGTGTGTGTGTGTGTGTGTGTGTGTGTGTGTGTGTGTGTGTGTGTGTGTGTGCGTGTGCGTGTGCGCGCGCGTCTGAGCATGTGCAGACAGACAGTTCATCTGTATTCAATGTCAGTTTTAAGTAAGAGGGTACGGTTTCAGACTCAACTTCAACTCTGCTTGGGTGTCCGTGTGAGAAGTTAACAGATTTAGCACTGACTGACTTCAAAACTGTCAATAGCCTGTCTATCGCCTATTTAATGGCCACTCATGTGCCTATTTGTCACGCCCTGACTCAGGGGACTCTTATATGTTGAGTCAGGGTGTGTATATTCTTTGTTGTGTATGTTCTATGTTGTTTTTCTAGTAGGTGTATATCTATGTTGGCCGGTGTGGTTCCCAATCAGAGGCAGCTGTCGCTCGTTGTCTCTGATTGGGGATCATACTTAGGCAGCCTATTGGCACTAGTGGGTTCTTGTTCCGTGTAAGGTATGTTGTGTGTGCGCTACCTTGGACTTCACGTTTTGTTTAGTTTGTTGTTTTGTATTGGTGTTTATCAGTAAATAAACATGTCACGCTGCGCCTTGGTCTAACCCGTCATTCAACGATCGTGACACTATTGATACAAAGTCTCTCTTTTTCATATTCTTCATACAGTGTTTTTGGTCTTCTGGTTGCCTGTTATCAATTGAAGTAGTTCCAGATTCATGATCAGTCTCTTTGTCAGGCCAATGTCTGTAGATGTGTCTGTCAGTGTCACTTGATTCCACACTCTCTGTCAATTGATCTGGCAGTCGTCTTTGCTTTCATCTGTCTGGCTTTGTCTCATCTCAAAGGTATTTGATTAAGAACTCTGTCAGGGTGCACAAGTAAATTATATGGAAGCTCGTACATCACTAGTTTCACCAAACCTTTTCCCAACCAACCAACCTCAAAAATGATATGTCGCTATCTGGCTGTCTCTCTCAGAGAACACAACCTTGCCTTCAAGGACCTCAGTATTATGTCAAACTCTTAATGAGGTATGGTCAGTGTATCAGTATACACAGTGGTGCCACTACTGAGGTCATGGGGAACACACACAGATCTGCCCCCACCCCCTACTATGAGGTCACAGGTGCCAGGAGGTAAGGTGTAATTAATAATGGTTGGTTTCAAAAGGTCAAACACTTTAAAGGTATTGGTATTACAGAACCCTTAAAATGCATAATACATAGGCCTACTGATATTCAAAATGGATTTTTCTTGAGATCATGGTAGGCTGGGGCCATGGAAGGTTTGGGGCCAGTAGGCTAGTTTCACTGCAATCAGTGACTAACAAATTAAACATTTCTTAGAATAAAAAAATATGAGCGAGATACTGAAGAGATCTGTCTGTAATGACCAGACAGTTGTTTTATGCACCAAACAAGACGGAGGTGTACAGTGGCGCGCGAGATCAAGTGATGCAATGCTTGACTGACAGACACACACACTTAATTTATGTCAATGTGTATCCTACCTTGGTCTCGCTGCTGAGCAATTTGTAGTCCGTTTCTTCGGTGTTCCCGAAAATTGTATTCTTTATCATTCCAAACATCGCGCACTGGCCAGATCACCACTCTGCTGCGCCTGTTGTCGCTTTATCCTATCTTATGTTGCCGCCGTGTTTCTGTAGCTTTTGCTTCCTTTGTGAAATAACGTTCTTATTTCATAATCTAGGCTACCTTCTTATTTTTCGCCTCCTTTTAAAATCACATAAATAAGGAGATTCTATTCAAATATGTTGTACACTCCTTTCCCTGATCCATGGACTTATTGGGCAAATCAAATCCTATATCTATTCAAAAATCCATTATTTTCCGCTATTTATATAGATGTTGTTACCTAGTCGTCCAACTAGGTTGAAATAGTGAATCTTGCTCCAAGCTCACTAGACGAGTTGACGAATTACAGCCACACGAATATAAACAACTGTCTCCGCCCTCCCTTCCCCGCGTCGACTCTTGGTTTTTTACCCTTTCCACTTAATATCTAACCTACTTTTCATTCACTTAACGTTAGTGATTCCCATCGATTGTCATGCACATTATTGCAGGCGGTAGCATGGTCTAGTTTATTTAATTTGTGTTTAGATCTCCACTGCGTAAGGTTATATTCGCATTAAACATAAATACACTGAATACTTAATGTAGCGGTGTATCCTACTGTATGTAATGATACAGAATCGTGATTGAAATGAGATCCTGTCATTCGCTTTTCACACACCTTAAAACATTCACATAGCAGTGACATGCTTGTGCAACATTATGTTATCTCTCAAGCTGTGTGTCAAAGTAATTCAATGTCTTGGTATGCATGGAGGAGTGAGGTGTAGAGAATCGTGTTATTTTGCGACGTAATAACAATATAATTTGACGCTATCTGTTGGTGTGCCACTATGCATTACATTTCCACTGCATGCGTATGGACTGTGGGTGCTGCCGCGCATGTGCATGCATATGTCTTGACCCAATGTGTCACAGTGTGTTGCGTAGCCTTACGGTCAATCTATTTAAACCCACACAGAAGACAATGTTAGTCACCGTGTAACAAATGGAATGGGGGAGTGTGACGCAGCTACACAGATTTAACTAAGAAAGGGGGATGAATAGAAGATAATAAATAGTCCAATAGGGGCACAGTTAATGATGACAGAGGCTTACTTTTTGTACTATAATCAAGGATGAAAACATAGCAGCAAAGGGCAAAGAACGGAAAAACAGTTCCCAGAAGGTAATACATGTTTCTCATATCAGTTCAGCCCCAAGTTCAGCTCAACCAGCCTCAGAGAGCTTCTTTGTCCCACCCCCCCAAACATGCGGAGACAGGCTCAATTATTACCTCCAGTGATGCTATCTCTTTCATAGTTACCCAATGCTTAGGTGTACCTCCACTGTACTCATATCCTTCCATATCCTTGTCTGTACATAATGCCCTGAATCTATTCTACAATGCCCGGAAATCTGCCCCTTTTATTCTCTGTACCCAACGCACTAGAAGACCAGTTCTTAAAGCCTTTAGCTGTATCCTTATTCTATTCCTCCTCTGTTCCTCTGGTGATGTAGAGGTTAACCCAGGCCCTGTAGCCCCCAGTATCACTCCTACCCCCTAGGCACTATCATTTGTTGACTTCTGTAACCATAAAAGCCTTGGTTTCTTGCATGTTAACATCAGAAGTCTCCTCCCCAAGTTTGAGTTATTCACTGCGTTAGCACACTCTGCCAACCCTGATGTTCTAGCAGTGTCTGAATCTTGGCTTAGGAAGGCTACCGTCTAGATAGAACTGCCAAAGGGGGCGGAGTTGCAATCTACTGTAGAGATAGCCTGCAGAGCTCTATCATACTATCCAGGTCTGTGCCCAAACAGTTTGAGCTTCTACTTCTAAAAATCCACCTTTCCAGAAAGAAGTCTCTCACTGTTGCCGCTTGCTACAGACTCCCTCAGCCCCCAGTTGTGCCCTGGACACCCCATCTATCCTCAGAGTTCGTACTGCTTGGTGACCTAAACTGGGATATACTTAACATCCCGGCCGTCCTACAATCTAAACTAGATGTCCTCAATCTCACACAAATTATCAAGGAACCTACCAGGTACAACCCTAAATCCGTAAACATGGGCACCCTCATAGATATCATCCTGACTAATTTACCCTCTAAATACACCTCCGCTGTCTTCAGCCAGGATCTCAGCGATCACTGCCTCATTGCCTGTGTCCGTAATGGGTCCGCGGTCAAACGACCACCCCTCATCACCGTCAAACGCTCCCTAAAACACTTCAGCGAGCAGGCCTTTCTAATTGACCTGGCCCGGGTATCCTGGATGGATATTGACCTCATTCCGTCAATAGAGGATGCCTGGATGTTCTTCAAAAGTGCTTTCCTCTCCATCATAAATAAGCATGCCCCATTCAAATATTTCAGAACTAAGAACAGATATAGCCCCTGGTTCACCCCAGACTTGACTGCCTTTGACCAGAACAAAAACATCCTGTGGCGTACTGCATTAGCATCGAACAGCCCCCGCGATATGCAACTTTTCAGGAAGTCAGGAACCAATATACACAATCAGTCAGGAAAGCAAAGGCTAGCTTTTTCAAACAGAAATGTGCATCCTGTAGCACTAACTCCAAAAAGTTTTGGGACACTGTAAAGTCCATGGAGAATAAGAGCACCTCTTCCCAGCTACCCACTGCACTGAGGCTAGGAAACACTGTCACCACCGATAAATCTACTATAATCGAGAATTTCAATAAGCATTTTGCTACGGCTGGCCATGCTTTCCACCTGGCTACTCCTACCCCGGCCACCAGCTCTGCACCCTCCGCTGCAACTTGCCCATGCCCCCCCCCAGCTTCTCCTTCACCCAAATTCAGATAGCTGATGTCCTGAAAGAGCTGCTAAATCTGGACCCCTGCAAATCAGCTGGGCTAGACAATCTGGACCCTTTCTTTCTAAAATTAGCTGCCGAAATTGTCGCAACCCCTATTACTAGCCTGTTCAACCTCTCTTTCGTATCGTCTGAGATCCCCAGATATTGGAAAGCTGCCGCGGTCATCCCCCTCTTCAAAGGGGGTGACACTCTAGATCCAAACAGTTACAGACCTATATACAGTGGGGAAGAAAAGTATTTAGTCAGCCACCAATTGTGCAAGTTCTCTCACTTAAAAAGATGAGAGAGGCCTGTAATTTTCATCATAGGTACACGTCAACTATGACAGACAAAATGAGAAAAAAAAATCCAGAAAATCACATTGTAGGATTTTTAATGACTTTATTTGCAAATTATGGTGGAAAATAAGTATTTGGTCAAAAACAAAAGTTTCTCAATACTTTGTTATATACCCTTTGTTGGCAATGACACAGGTCAAACATTTTCTGTAAGTCTTCACAAGGTTTTCACACACTGTTGCTGGTATTTTGGTCCATTCCTCCATGCAGATCTCCTCTAGAGCAGTGATGTTTTAGGGCTGTCGCTGGGCAACACAGACTTTCAACTCCCTCCAAAGATTTTCTTTGGGGTTGAGATCTGGAGACTGGCTAGGCCACTCCAGGACCTTGAAATGCTTCTTACGAAGCCACTCCTTCGTTGCCCGGGCGGTGTGTTTGGGATCATTGTCATGCTGAAAGACCCAGCCACGTTTCATCTTCAATGCCCTTGCTGATGGAAGGAGGTTTTCACTCAAAATCTCACGATACATGGCCCCATTCATTCTTTCCTTTACACGGATCAGTCGTCCTGGTCCCTTTGCAGAAAAACAGCCCCAAAGCATGATGTTTCCACCCCTATGCTTCACAGTAGGTATGGTGTTCTTTGGATGCAACTCAGCATTCTTTGTCCTCCAAACACAACGAGTTTAGTTTTTACCAAAAAGTTATATTTTGGTTTCATCTGACCATATGACATTCTCACAATCCTCTTCTGGATCATCCAAATGCACTCTAGCAAACTTCAGACGGGCCTGGACATGTATTGGCTTAAGCAGGGGGACACGTCTGGCACTGCAGGATTTGAGTCCCTGGCGGCGTAGTGTGTTACTGATGGTAGGCTTTGTTACTTTGGTCCCAGCTCTCTGCAGGTCATTCACTAGGTCCCCCCGTGTGGTTCTGGGATTTTTGCTCACCGTTCTTGTGATCATTTTGACCCCACGGGGTGAGATCTTGCGTGGAGCCCCAGATCGAGGGAGATTATCAGTGGTCTTGTATGTCTTCCATTTCCTAATAATTGCTCCCACAGTTGATTTCTTCAAACCAAGCTGCTTACCTATTGCAGATTCAGTCTTCCCAGCCTGGTGCAGGTCTACAATTTTGTTTCTGGTGTCCTTTGACAGCTCTTTGGTCTTGGCCATAGTGGAGTTTGGAGTGTGACTGTTTGAGGTTGTGGACAGGTGTCTTTTAAACTGATAACAAGTTCAAACAGGTGCCATTAATACAGGTAATGAGTGGAGGACAGAGGAGCCTCTTAAAGAAGAAGTTACAGGTCTGTGAGAGCCAGAAATCTTGCTTGTTTGTAGGTGACCAAATACTTATTTTCCACCATAATTTGCAAATAAATTCATAAAAAATCCTACAATGTGATTTTCTGGATTTTTTTCTTCTCAATTTGTCTGTCATAGTTGACGTGTACCTATGATGAAAATTACAGGCCTCTCTCATCTTTTTAAGTGGGAGAACTTGCACAATTGGTGGCTGACTAAATACTTTTTTCCCCCACTGTACATCCTGCCCTGCCTTTCGAAAGTATTTGAAAGCCAAGTTAACAAACAGATCACTGACCATTTCGAATCCCACCGTACCTTCTCCGCTATGCAATCTGGTTTCCGAGCTGGTCATGGGTGGATCTCAGCCACGTTCAAGGTCCTAAACGATATAATAACCGCGATCGATAAAAGACAGTACTGTGCAGCCGTCTTCATCGACCTGGCCAAGGCTTTTGACTCTGTCAATCACCGCATTCTTATTGGCAGACTAAATAGCCTTGGTTTCTCAAATGACTGCCTCGCCTGGTTCACCAACTACTTCTCAGATAGAGTTCAATGTGTCAAATCGGAGGGCCTGTTGTCTGGACCTCTGGCAGTCTCTATGGGGGTGCCACAGGGTTCAATTCTCGGGCCGACTCTATTCTCTGTGTATATCAATGATGTCCAACTGCTCTTAAACGTTGGTAAAACTAAATACATGCTCTTCAATCGAACGCTGCTTGCACCCGCCCGCCCGACTAGAATCACTACTCTCGGCGGGTCTGACTTAGAATATGTGGACAACTACAAATACCTAGGTGTCTGGTTAGACCGTAAACTCTCCTTCCAGACTCACATTAAGCATCTCCAATCCAAAGTTAAATCTAAAATCAGTTTCCTATTTCGCAACAAAGCCTCCTTCACTCATGCTCTAAACATGCCCTCGTAAAACGGACTATCCTACTGATCCTTGACTTCGGCGATGTCATTTACAAAATAACTTCCAACACTCTACTCAGCAAATTGGATGTAGTCTATCACAGTGCCATCCGTTTTGTCACCAAAGCCCCATATACAGTGAGGGAAAAAAGTATTTGATCTCCTGCTGATTTTGTACGTTTGCCCACTGACAAAGACATGATCAGTCTATAATTTTAATGGTAGGTTTATTTGAACAGTGAGAGACAGAATAACAACAAAAAAATCCAGAAAAATGCATGTAAAAAATGTTATAAATTGATTTGCATTTTAATGAGGGAAATAAGTATTTGACCCCTCTGCAAAACATGACTTAGTACTTGGTGGCAAAACCCTTGTTGGCAATCACAGAGGTCAGACGTTTCTTGTAGTTGGCCACCTGGTTTGCACACATCTCAGGAGGGATTTTGTCCCACTCCTCTTTGCAGATCTTCTCCAAGTCATTAAGGTTTTGAGGCTGACATTTGGCAACTCGAACCTTCAGCTCCCTCCACAGATTTTCTATGGGATTAAGGTCTGGAGACTGGCTAGGCCACTCCAGGACCTTAATGTGCTTCTTTTTGAGCCACTCCTTTGTTGCCTTGGCCGTGTGTTTTGGGTCATTGTCATGCTGGAATACCTATCCACGACCCATTTTCAATGCCCTGGCTGAGGGCAAGATTTGACGGTACATGGCCCCGTCCATCGTCCCTTTGATGCGGTGAAGTTGTCCTGTCCCCTTAGCAGAAAAACACCCCAAAGCATAATGTTTCCACCTCCATGTTTGACGGTGGGGATGGTGTTCTTGGGGTCAAAGGCAGTATTCCTCCTCCTCCAAACACGGCGAGTTGAGTTGATGGCAAAGAGCTCGATTTTGGTCTCATCTGACCACAACAATTTCACCCAGTTCTCCTCTGAATCATTCAGATGTTCATTGGCAAACTTCAGACGGGTCTGTATATGTGCTTTCTTGAGCAGGGGGACTTTGCGGGCGTTGCAGGATTTCAGTCCTTCGCGGCGTAGTGTGTTACCAATTGTTTTCTTGGTGACTATGGACCCAGCTGCCTTGAGATCATTGACAAGATCCTCCCGTGTAGTTCTGGGCTGATTCCTCACCGTTCTCATGATAATTGCAATTCCACGAGGTGAGATCTTGCATGGAGCCCCAGGCCGAGGGAGATTGACAGTTATTTTGTTTTTGTTTCCATTTTGCGAATAATCGCACCAACTGTTGTCACCTTCTCACCAAGCTGCTTGGCAATGGTCTTGTAGCCCATTCCAGCCTTGTGTAGGTCTACAAGCTTGTCCCTGACATCCTTGGAGAGCTCTTTGGTCTTGGCCATGGTGGAGAGTTTGGAATCTGATTGATTGATTGCTTCTGTGGACAGGTGTCTTTTATACAGGTAACAAGCTGAGATTAGGAGCACTCCCTTTAAGAGTGTGCTCCTAATCTCAGCTCGTTATCTGTTTAAAAGACACCTGGGAGCCAGAAATCTTTCTGATTGAGAGGGGGTCAAATACTTATTTCCCTCATTAAAATGCAAATCAATTAATAACATTTTTGACATGCGTTTTTCTGGATTTTTCTTGTGTTATTCTGTCTCTCACTGTTCAAATAAACCTACCATTACAATTATAGACTGATCATGTCTTTGTCAGTGGGCAAACGTACAAAATCAGCAGAGGATCAAATACTTTTTTCCCTCACTGTACTACCCACCATTGTGACCTGTACGCTCTCGTTGGCTGGCCGTCACTACATATTCATCGCCAAACCCACTGGCTCCAGGTCATCTATAAATCACTTCTAGGCAAATCCCCGCCTTATCTTAGATCATTGGTAACCATAGCAACACCCACCCGTAGTATGCGTTCCTGCAGGTATATCTCACTGGTCGTGGTGAAGAAGTCAGGACAGCGACTCTTCAACCTCAGGAGGCTGAAGAAATCCGGCCTGTCCCCGAGGGCCATCAGTGTTCTACAGGAGCACCATCGAGAGCATATTGTCGGGCTGCATCACACAGGTTGGTTCGGCCACTCCACTGCCGCCGACCCCCTGGACCCTTCCCAAATGGACATTTACCCTGCCCCCACAACAATGGACATTTATCATTGTTACAGTTGTAAATATGTATAAATTATTACCTGCTCCCCCTGTCCCCCGGACTTCCTACCCCTGCTATCATTTTTTTTCTATCAATGGTCCCGTGTAGCTCAGTTGGTAGAGCATGGCGTTTGCAACGCCAGGGTTGTGGGTTCGATTCCCACGGGGGGCCAGTATGAAAAAAAAATGTATGTCGCTCTGGATAAGAGCGTCTGCTAAATGACTAAAATTTAAATGCCATCCCCAAAGTCAACACCTCCTTTGGCCGCCATTCCTTCCAGTTCTCTGCTGCAAATGACTGGAACGAGTTGCAAAAATCTCTGAAGCTGGAGACACTTATCTCCCTCACTAACTTTAAGCATCAGTTGTCAGAGCAGCTTACCGATCACTGCACCTGTACACAGCCCATCTGTAATTAGCCCACCCAACTACCTCACCCCCATATTATTTACATTGTTATTTATTTTGCTCATTTGCACCCCAGTATCTCTATTTGCACATCATCTTCTGCACATCTATCACTCCAGTGTTAATACTAAATTGTAATTATTTTGCACTATGGCCTATTTATTGCCTTACCTCCATAACTTACTACATTCACACACTATATATAGATTTTCTATTGTGTTATTGACTGTACGTTTTGTTTATTCCGTATGTAACTCTGTGTTGTTGTTGTTTTTAATCGCACTGCTTTGCTTTATCTTGGCCAGGTCGCAGTTGTAAATGAGAACTTGTTCTCAACTGGCTTACCTGGTTAAATAAAGGTGAAATGAAATAAAAAATAAATATAAAAAAAATATACGGCAAAAGCCAACAGAGAAATTTAGTGGAGGAGTTGGTAGAAATGCCAGTTCGCCATTGACACAATAATGAAACAAATTAATCGGCTAATACAAAGCAACAAAACTCCTATCTTCTGTTTTCCATTGTGCTGGTAATACTCTACTCTTATAAACGCCTACCTAAGAGACAAAATAAAGCATCTTGTTATACTTCCCTTATGTATGTTGCATGCCCTAGCATTATCTCAGACCTTTCCTTTATTTCGCTGGTGGCTGGTCTTTGCATTCTGTTTAATCCACTGGCCAAAGGAAGTGAAGAACATAAAATGTAAAAGATCAAAGGCCATGCAATGAGTTCACATCCATCTGACATAACATACCCTCTTTGTAATGCTTGATCTTTTAATTAAGCAGGAATTTTAATTACCTGATATCCTCAAAAATATACATATGACTGAATTAGTTCTCATGGGTTTTATCTGCCGAGTATGAGTGCTTTACCTGAACATCATAGCTTGCTCCAAGTAAACCTTACTGAATTTAGAGGTCGAAAGGGATATCATTATTTAATTTTGTATGGCATTAGATTTAATTGGTTATGGTTTATTAGTAGATTATTAACAGGCACTAGCAGCATATGGATTGCAAGAAAAGTGAGATGTCATGGTGACCCGATAAAACAGTGATTAATACTTTAATTGGCAAAATTTGTCCCATTGTATTTACAAAGATTTTAATTACAGCCATTGTTTCCAGACAGACATGGAGTGGTAGGGAGAGCTGGGAATCTCATATTTCTAATAGCCTTGATCCTCCCTTGTATAATCACAATTCACAGTCCTTGTTCATCGCAGCCTTCATATCTTCCTCTGTTTTGTAAAATAGCATTAGGTCCAGTGTGATGATTACAACCCTTTGGTGTGGTATGAGCGTCTTCTCCCTTCCCTTCTCTCACTTCTCCCAGCCCTTCCCTCCAGGCTGGGTGGGCAGCCTGAGCCCCACAATTCCCGCCATCTCCTCTGTGTCACGCTGCCCTTTCCCATGGTAGATGTCGTAGAGAGCCAAGTGTTGCCGGGTGGAGGTGAGCAGACAGAGGTAGCTGTGCGAAGCATGGAGGGCCTCCTCCTGGGCACGACAATATCTCTCCCCGGTGATCTAAAAAATGGGCAGAATTAAGATAAAAAGCATGTATAAGGCATTCATAACAATGACACTAACAGAGGACTAACGTTGCCATCTTGAAGGTGAATTTATGCAGCAAGTACACTTGCAAATAGATATGATACATTTACTAAATAAATATAAAGTGCCTAGTGAAAGTCTAAACACCCCTTGCACGGTCTTCACATTTTGATGCCTTAATATAAAATCTAAAAAGGGATTCAATTAGATTTTTTCCCCTATTCAACCTACAGTACTGCACAATTTCAAAGTGAAAGAAAGTTATAGAACATTTTCCAAATTAATCAACAAATACAAGATGTCTTGATTGCGTGTCTTTACACCCCAGAGTTAATACTTGGTGGAAGCATCTTTGGCAACCATTTTTATTTATTTTATTTTATTTCACCTTTATTTAACCAGGTAAACCAGTTGAGAACAGGTTCTCATTTACAACTGCGACCTGGCCAAGATAAAGCAAAGCAGTGCAATAAAAACAACACAGAGTTACATATGGGGTAAAAAAACATAAAGTCAAAAATACAACAGAAAATATATATACAGTGTGTGCAAATGTAGCAAGTTATGGAGGTAAGGCAATAAATAGGCTATAGTGCAGAATAATTACAATAGTATTAACACTGGAATGCTAGATGTGCAAGAGATTATGTGCAAATAGAGATACTGGGGTGCAAAAGAGCAAAATAAATAACAATATAGGGATGAGGTAGTTGGGTGGGCTAATTTCAGATGGGCTGTGTACAGGTGCAGTGATCGGTAAGGTGCTCTGACAACTGATGCTTAAAGTTATTGAGGGAGATAAGAGTCTCCAGCTTCAGAGATTTTTGCAATTCGTTCCAGTCATTGGCAGCAGAGAACTGGAAGGAATGGCGGCCAAAGGAGGTGTTGGCTTTGGGAATGACCAGTGAGATATACCTGCTGGAGCGCAGACTACGGGTGGGTGCTGCTATGGTGACCAATGAGCTAAGATAAGGCGGGGATTTGCCTAGCAGTGATTTATAGATGGCCTGGAGCCAGTGGGTTTGACGACGAACATGTAGTGAGGACCAGCCAACAAGAGCGTACAGGTCACAGTGGTGGGTAGTGTATGGGGCTTTGGAGACAAAACGGATGGCACTGTGATAGACTACATCCAATTTGCTGAGTAGAGTGTTGGAGGCTATTTTGTAAATGACATCGCCGAAGTCAAGGATCGGTAGGATAGTCAGTTTTACGAGGGCATGTTTGGCAGCATGAGTGAAGGAGGCTTTGTTGCGAAATAGGAAGCCGATTCTAGATTTAACTTTGGATTGGAGATTCTTTATGTGAGTCTGGAAGTTGAGTTTACAGTCTAACCAGACACCTAGGTATTTGTAGTTGTCCACATACTCTAGGTCAGACCCGTCGAGAGTGGTGATTCTAGTCGGGTGGGCGGGTGCCAGCAGCGTTCGATTGAAAAGCATGCATTTAGTTTTACTAGTGTTTAAGAGCAGTTGGAGGCTACTGAAGGATTGTTGTATGGCATTGAAGCTCGTTTGGAGGTTTGTTAACACAGTGTCCAATGAAGGGCCAGATGTATACAAAATGGTGTCGTCTGCGTAGAGGTGGATCTTTGAGTCACCAGCAGCAAGAGCGACATCATTGATATACACGGAGAAAAGTGTCGGCCCAAGAATTGAACCCTGTGGCACCCCCATAGAGACTGAGAGGGTGGCAGGTCTGCTGAACGCATTACCGGGGTCAAACTACCCACCCTCCAGGACACCTACAGCACCCGATGTCACAGGAAGGCCAAAAAGATCATCAAGGACATCAACCACCCGAGCCACTGCCTGTTCACCCCGCTATCATCCAGAAGGCGAGGTCAGTATATGTGCATCAAAGCTGGGACCGTGAGAATGAAAAACTGCTTCTATCTCAAGGCCATCAGACTGTTAAATAGCCATCACTAGCACATTAGAGGCTGCTGCTGCCTATTACAATAACTGGCCACTTTAAGAAATGGAACACTAGTCACTTTAATAATGTTTACATATCTTGCATTACTCATCTCATATGTATATACTGTATTCTATCATATTCTACTGTATCTTAGTCCATGCAGCTCTGTCATTGCTTGTCCATATATGTATATATTCTTAAATTCCATTCCTTACTTAGATTTGTGTGTATTGGGTATATGTTGTGAAATTGTTAGATATTACTTGTTAGATATTACTGCACTGTCGGAGCTAGAAGCACAAGCATTTCGCTACACCCGCAATAACATCTGCTAAACACGTGTATGTGACAAATAACATTTGATTTGATCAAGGTACCTAATGTGTGCCAGGAAAACATTCCCCACACAATTACACCACCAACACCAGCCTGTACCACTGACACCAGGCAGGATGGGGCCCATGGACTCATGATGCTTGCGCCAAATCCTGACTGCCATCAGCATGACGCAACAGGAACTGGGATTAGTCAGACCAGGCAATGTTTTACCACTCCTCAATAGTCCAGTGTTGGTGATCGCGTGCCCAATGGAGCCACTTCTTCTTGTTTTAAGCCGATAGGAGTGGAACCCGGTGTGGTCGTCTGCTGCAATAGCCCATCCGTGAAAATGAGGAGTAGGTTGTGTAGATTCTGCACACCAATGTTGTACTGCACCGTTATTTCCCTGTTTGTGGCCCGCCTGTTTGCTTGCACGATTCTTGCCATTCTCCTTCAACCGCTCTCATCAACGAGCTGTTTTTGCCCACAGGATGTTTTTAGTTTGTCGCACCATTCTCGGTAAACCCTAGACACTGTCATGCGTGAAAAGCCCAGGAGGCCAGTCGTTTCTGAGATACTGGAACCGGTGCACCTGGCACCGACGATCATACCACGCTCAAAGTCGCTTAGGTCACTCGTTTTGCCCATTCTAACGTTCAATCGAACAGTAACTGAATGCTTTATATAGCAACCCATGGCCACGTGACTCACTGTCTCTAGGAGCTAACCATTTTCGTGAACGGAGTGGTTTACATAATAAACTAGCAACTGAGTGTATGTAACCCGAAGAGTTGGTAGAATCTTATTCCAAATGATTCACAGCTGTCCAAGGTGATTACACCAAGTATTGACTCAGGGGGTTGGAGACTTATCCAATTTATATATTTTTCTTGATTAGAAAAATGTTCTATAACTTTCTTTCACTTTGAAAATGAGGAGTAGGTTGTTAGAGCTGTAGAAAAATAAATAATCCCTTTTTAGATTTAATTTTAAGGCAGTAAAATGTGAAAAAAGTTCAAGGGGGTGTAGACTTTCTAAGGGAAAGGGGATACCTAGTCAGTTGCACAAATTAATGCATTCAACCGAAATGTGTCTCCCGCATTTAACCCAACCACTCTGAATCAGAGAGGTGCATGAGGCTGCCTTAATCAATGTCATCGGCGCCCGGGGAGCAGTTGTTGGACACTGTATATTTTTAAGTATTCAAATCATAAGACTATATGATAACAGAGTCTTGGAACCAACAGGATCCTGAACAGCTTCTACCGCCAAGCCATAAGACTTCTAAATAGATAATGAAATGGCAACCTGGACTACCTGCATTGACCCTTTTTTGCATTAACTCTCTTGCACTGACTCTACCCACACACTAACACATACTTACACTGACATCCCAACACACACGCACTCATACTGACGCCACACACAGACTTTCATACTCACCACATAGCTGATGCTACTATTACCTATCCTGTTGCTTTATTACGTTGTATACTCTACTAACTAAAGGGGATGTAGTCGGTGGGGTCAGGGTGAATATAGCCTACTGTATGAAGAGAGGATCGTGTTCTATCTCATGGTTGGACTATGGTCGACGATTTAGCCTTGTATTCTTGGCCAATGTTTGAATGTAGCCTACATTTGTTAAGTTTATGAGTTTGAATGGTTGGTAACACATTTTCCAAGAAGAAAGGAATGCTATGATTAGATTTTCTTCCCAGGCCCACGTTTGCAAAAAAATCCATTAATCCCCCCAACATCAGACCATATTCACTGACACTCACAATATGCCAATGCCTGTCAAACAGACATTCAATTAAATGTGTAATACTTTGGCCTGCTGTCATTTTCAATTTGTTACCTTGTTGTATCCCTGCCTTTTCAGAGACCCTCAAAGCTCTCTGAAGCGTCTGAGGGCCTCAGTGAGGCCCCCTTGTTGAGAATCACTGCACATTTCTGCACTGCTTCAGCAAATGAACATTGCCAATGGCTATTTATAATCGTCATGCCGGTAGTCCTGCAATATCTAGGCCTAATAATAGTGCATCGGAGGAAAAGTAGCACTAATGTAATGTGCACTAATGTTAACGATAGACACACAGGCTCGTCACGCCACGGTCACCTTGGCTTGGTTAGCCAGCTACTAGTAACGTTAGGGTCAATGATACTAACCTGGTGCTGCCACGTTAGCTAATCACTGTAACTTAGCTAGTTAGTACCATAACAAAGCCCCCAATGCGACTTATTCTTGAAGTCGCTAACATATTTTTAACCACGGCAATCTAGCTAGCTACATTAGCTTACGTTACGTCATGGTGGATAGATGTCGTGGTTCCATTAAAGTTGTAGCTAGCTAACCTAATTTACTCATCAACAACATCACTTACCTGGTTTTTACGGAATTGATCTAAAACATAATTGTATGCCAGAGATTGTTTGTATTCCGGTCCTTTAATCGCTCGTATCTCCCTCAGGATCCCTCGGCAAAGGCGGAGAGGTGAAGACAACGCCGCCATGTTGGACTGGCTGGTTAGGGTGCGCACCTACTACCAGGAGCACAAATAATGACGTAACTTTCGTACAGTAATAATGAAAACCTTCAAAATAAAAGGCCACATTTCAAAACATTGCAATGTCGAAAACTCATTCAAAATATATTACAGTGGCCAGTTGATTAGGTACACCCATCTAGTACCGGGTCGGACCAGAAATGCCGGAATTATTCGGGGCATGGATTCAATGTGTCAAATCAAATGTATTTACATTTTAGTCATTTAGCAGACGGTCTTATCCAGAGCAACTTACAGTTAGTGGATGCATACATGTATTTTTAATTTTTTACATACTGGCCCCCCGTGGGAAACGAACCCACATCCCTGCCGGCCAAACCCTCCCCTACCTTGGACGACGCTGGACCAATTGTGCGCCGCCCATGGGTCTCCCGGTCGCAGCCGGCTGCGACAGAGCCTGGAGTCGAACCAGGATCTCTAGTGGCACAGCTAGCACCCACCACTCGGGAGTCAAATGCAACAGAATACAACAGATGTAGACCTTACTGTGAAATGCCTACTTACAAGCCCTTTACCAACAATGCAGAGTTTCAAAAAAGTAAGTAGGAAAATGTGCTAAATAAACTATAGGAAAATAGTAACACAATAAAATAAAAATAACGAGGCTATATACGAGGGTTACCGGTACCAAGTCAATGTGCAGAGGTAGGGGTTAGTCGAGGTAATTTAGGTAATATGTACATGTAGGTATGGTTAAAGTTACTATGCATAGATAATAAACAGAGAGTAACAGCAGTGTATGTGAAGAGTGTGAAGGAATGTGTGTGTGTGTATGTTTTGTTGGAGTGTCAGTGTAGTATGTGCGAGTGTGTGGTTAGAGTCCAGTGAGTGTACATCGAGCCTGTGCAAGAGAGTCAGTGCAAAAAAAATATGAATAAATATTAAAATAACGGAGTCATTGCAAATAGTCCAGGTAGTCATTTGATTAACTGTTCAGCAGTCTTATGGCTTGGGGGTAGAAGATGTTAAGGAGCCTTTTGGTCCCAGACTTGGCGCTCCGGTACCACTTGCTGTGCGGTAGCAAAGATGACTTGGTTGGTCTATGACTTGGTTGGCTGGAGTCTTTGACAGTTTTTAGGGCCTTCCTCTGACACCGCCTGGTATAGAAGCAATTGCCATACCAAGCGGTGATGCAACTAGTCAGGATGCTCTCGATGGTTCAGCTGTATAACTTTTTGAGGATCTGAGGACCCATGCCAAATCTTTTCAGCCTCCTGAGGGGGAATAGGCATTGTTGTGCCCTGCGGCCTTGTGAATGTTAACCTGTTTAAAGGTCTTACTCACATCGGCTATGGAGAGCGTGATCACACAGTCATCCGGAACAGCTGGTGCTATCATGGATGGTTCAGTGTTGCTTGCCTCAAAGCGAGCATAGAAGCGTTGAGCTCTTTTGGTAGGCTCGCGTCACTGGGCAGCTTGCGTCTGGGTTTCCCTTTGTAATCCGTGATAGTTTGCAAGCCCTGCCACATCCAACAAGTGTCAGAGCCAGTGTAGTAGGATTCGATCTTAGTCCTGTATTGACACTTTGCCTGTTTGATGGTTCGTCAGAGGGCGTAGCGGGATTTCTTTTAAGTGTCCGGATTAGTGTCCCGCTCCTTGAAAGCGGCAGCTCTAGCTTTTAGCTCAGTGCGGATGTTGGCTGTAATCCATATCGATGCACTTATTAATGAAGCCGGTGACTGATGTGGTATACTCCTCAATGCCATCGGATAAATCCCAGAACATATTCTAGTCTGTGCTAGTGAAACAGTCCTGTAGTTTAGCATCCACTTCATTGGACCACTTCCATTTTGCGCGCGTCACTTCCTGTTTGAGTTTTTGCTTATAAGCAGGAATCAGGAGGACAGAGTTATGGTCAGATTTGCCAAATGGAGGGTGAGGGAGAGCTTATTTTTTATTATTATTTATTATTATTATTATTATTATTGTATTATAAAAATGTTTACCCCTTTTTTCTCCCCAATTTCGTGGTATCCAATTGGTAGTTACAGTCTTGTCTCCTCTTCATACGAATGACGGGGATTTGGGCCTGGTCCGGGAGGAGCAGTATATCCTTCGCCGCAGACTCATTAAAGAAAAAATCCTTGTCCAGTTCAATGTGAGTAATCGTTTAAAACAACGCAAAACCCCCCACAAAAAAGCACAATTGGTCAGGAGCCCGTAAAACTGCAGCCATCCCCTCCGGAGCCATTCTCTTTTCTTTGTGAAGGACCGGGCTCCCTGGAATGGGTTCAAACGTTGCTCAATTGGTATCAAGGTACCAAACGTGTGCCAGGAAAACGTTCCCCACATCATTACACCACCGCCACCAGCATAGCCCCGGGAAGTAGTTTGGGGGGTCTATATTGTTCCGCTAATTCAGGACTAGTAAAGGCCCAGTACACTACTTTTGTGATTTTTGAAGACATTTAATGTATTTGTATTTGAGTCTGACAATTATCTGTACAAAACAGTTAATCTGGTAATACTTGTTGAATATAAAAAGCTTGCTTGATATACTGTCTGTTTTCCAATTTCTTGAAATACTTTACAAATGCAACTTATGTCTATGTGTTAACTGAAATGGTCTATTCATTCCTTTTACTAGACACTCTTGTCCAGAGCAACCTACAGTAGTGAGTGCATACATTTTCCTACTTTTTCATACTGGTCCCCCGTGGGAATCAAACCCACAACTCTAGCGTTGCAAGCGCCATGCTCTACCAACTGAGCCACATCATCACAAACCACTTGATGTCTCAATGTACTCAATTACTGTATTGTGCATTGTTTTTCTTCATGGTGATGGAAAGTCTACAGGTACCAAACCTAGATGACCAGCCTATGTACAATACAGTAATGTACATTTACATTAAGTGGTTTGTAAGGATGGTAAATTAATACTGCACAAAAAGTGGTTGTTTTTCATGTTATTTTATTCACCCCCCCTGGCATTTTTCCTATTTTGTTGTCTTACAACCTGGAATTAAAATTGTTTTTTTGGGGGTTTGTATCATTTGATTTACACAACATACCTACCACTTTGAAGATGCAAAATATTTTTTATTGTGAAACAAACAAGAAATAAGACAACAAAACATAAAACTTGAGCGTGCATAACTATTCACCCCCCCAAAGTCAATACTTTGTAGAGCCACCTTTTGCAGCAATTACAGCTGCAAGTCTCTTGGGGTATGTCTCTATAAGCTTGGCACATCTAAACACTGGGATTTTTGCCCCTTCTTCAAGGCAAAACTGCTCCAGCTCCTTCAAGTTGGATGGGTTCCGCTGGTGTACAGCAATCTTTAAGTCATACCACAGATTCTCAATTGGATTGAGGTCTGGGCTTTGACTAGGCCATCCCAAGACATTTAAATGGTTCCCCTTAAACCACTCGAGTGTTGCTTTAGCAGTATGCTTAGGGTCATTGTCCTGCTGGAAGGTGAACCTCCGTCCCAGTCTCAAATCTATGGAAGACTGAAACAGGTTTCCCTCAAGAATTTCCCTGTATTTAGCGCCATCCATCATTCCTTCAATTCTGACAAGTTTCCCAGTCCCTGCAAATGAAAAACATCCCCACAGCATGATGCTGCCACCACCATGCTTCACTGTGGGGATGGTATTCTCTGGGCGATGAGAGGTGTTGGGTTTGCGCCAGACATAGCGTTTTCCTTGATGGCCAAAAAGCTCAATTTTAGTCTCATCTGACCAGAGTACCTTCTTTCATGTGTTTGGGGAGTCTCCCACATGGCTTTTGGCGAACACCAAACGTGTTTGCTTATTTTTTTCTTTAAGCAATGGCTTTTTTCTGGCCACTCTTCCGTAAAGCCCAGCTTGTGGAGTGTACGGCTTAAAGTGGTCCTATGGACAGATACTCCAATCTCCGCTGTGGAGCTTTGCAGCTCCTTCAGGGTTATCTTTGTCTCTTTGTTTCCTCTCTGATTAATGCCCTCCTTGCCTAGTCCGTGAGTTTTGGTGGGCGGCCCTCTCTTGGCAGGTTTGTTGTGGTGCCATATTCTTTCCATTTTTTAATAATGGATTTAATGGTGCTCCGTGGGATATTCAAAGTTTCAGATTTTTTTTTATAACCCAACCCTGATCTGTACTTCTCCACAACTTTGTCCCTGACCTGTTTGGAGAGCTCCTTGGTCTTCATGGTGCCGCTTGCTTGGTGGTGCCCCTTGCTTAGTAGTGTTGCAGACTCTGGGGCCTTTCAGAACAGGTGTATATATCTACTGAGATCATGTGACAGATCATGTGACACTTAGACTGCACACAGGTGGACTTTATTTAACTAATTATGTGACTTCTGAATGTAATTGGTTGCACCAGATCTTATTTAGGGGCTTCATAGCAAAGGGGGTGAAAACATATGCATGCACCACTTTTCCGTTATTTATTTTTTTGAATTTTTATTTTTTCCTTTCACTTCACCAATTTGGACTATTTTGTGTATGTCCATTACATGAAATCCAAATTAATGTCTTTATTTCTTTATTTCACCTTTATTTAACCAGGTAAGCCAGTTGAGAACAAGTTCTCATTTACAACTGCGACCTGGCCAAGATAAAGCAAAGCAGTGCGATAAAAACAACAACACAGAGTTACAGTGGGGGAAAAAAGTATTTAGTCAGCCACCAATTGTGCAAGTTCTCCCACTTAAAAAGATGAGAGAGGCCTGTAATTTTCATCATAGGTACACGTCAACTATGACAGACAAATTGAGAATTTTTTTCTCCAGAAAATCACATTGTAGGATTTTTAATGAATTTATTTGCAAATGATGGTGGAAAATAAGTATTTGGTCACCTACAAACAAGCAAGATTTTTGGCTCTCACAGACCTGTAACTTCTTCTTTAAGAGGCTCCTCTGTCCTCCACTCGTTACCTGTATTAATGGCACCTGTTTGAACTTGTCCACAACCTCAAACAGTCACACTCCAAACTCCACTATGGCCAAGACCAAAGAGCTGTCAAAGGACACCAGAAACAAAATTGTAGACCTGCACCAGGCTGGGAAGACTGAATCTGCAATAGGTAAGCAGCTTGGTTTGAAGAAATCAACTGTGGGAGCAATTATTAGGAAATGGAAGACATACAAGACCACTGA